GATACAGGGACAGACTGCAGGAATGCTGCAGTGGTGTGCGGTGAAACTCGAGGTCGCGTGCTAGGTTAAAGGAGAAGGGTAAGATGACACGAGCCGTGGAGGGATAGGAGGGGATTGGTTGCGGTGGACAGCACCGAGGAGGTGAGATTGAGATCTGCGGGTGAAGGTAGATAGTTGTAAGGGGTGCAAGCGAAGGGGGTGAGATATGAGTCGCTTATAGATGAATCATCGAGAAATGAAAGATCAGGTAGCTAGGTGAATGGGAGAGTAGAGCCGTAGTGCTCGACAACTGTGAATGAGGCTCGGCGGGCAGAGAAGGAGAGGGGGGGACCACACAGGGGGGAATGAGGCGCTGAGTAGGAGAGTGGCATACTACGGGTGGAGAAGGGGGCTGGTGGGTAAATAGGGAAGTGTATGGCCTTCTGTGGAGGCGCGCTTGTACGACTCACACACAATTTGATACAACACATGCGCTGTCAAATGTTTAAGACCAGCCACATTTTCTACCAAGTGCTCACAGGAGTCTATTTCAGATGGAACACAAGAAGTAGTGGATGGTGTCGAGTCACTCGGAAGGAGGTGAGTTGTGTTTATATCAACGAGCGGGATACACGGTAAAGAGAAGTCGTTTACAAGTTCACGGTAAGATTCTATTGAGCCAGTGGGGAGATCAGAATAAGATACGGATGGAGCAATGTTCTTACGTTTGATTTTATCGAATTTAGTAGCTGATTTGGATCTTTTACAGATGTTATATTCGACAGGTGAAATCAAGTGTTTTTTAGATAAACGTGACATCTTTGTGGAATTATTTGTAAGCAGAGTTTGTGTTACTATAGGCACAATGTCTGTTTGGAATTATGAAGCCAAAAACTACAGAGAAAATTACTAAAATAAGAATAACCGAGGAGAATTTGTAAGAGATGAGTTAATATGTACCGTTGAACTAGGGTAAAAAGATCGGAAAGCGAAAAAGAAAATACACGTGAAAAAAGGTACAACCTTCAAAGTACGCGCCTGAAACAGTGTTTCTGTGTAGAAGAAGTCTGAAGATAACAAGAAATCTCTGAAATTGTCGTATATGAAGGATTCTATAGCTTAGAGAGTACTAAAATAGATGCTACCAGCTTGTAGCCTGAAGGTTTACTACCCTGGCCTCCTCTAAAAATCTCTATGACGTGAGCAAACTTCCAGTTGTTTAGGACCATGCCTATGGAACATGAAATTACTAAGCAGAGTTACCAAGTCCGAAGCCGCTCTTCTCCGGACAGCTGGTTGAAAGATGTCAGGGCCAGGAAAAGTGTCCTTATTCAGATTATGCTATTTTTGATACATCAGCACAGCTTTTCAGAGAATTGTTTTCGGCTGCGGATGAAGCTCTTGTTAATGTAGATATTCTGTCACGGTTGAAATGTTTGTAGAGGGTTTTCAAAGAGCTCTGTGGCATCATCGTCATTGTTTGTGTATCCATTAAGACCTAACAAGTGGGAAACTTCGGCTTTGGTTTATCGAGGAGAGGTTTTATGAAGGTAGAGGTCGCTTAAAATTAGGAAATGAGTGTATTCGAGACGAGTGGAGTGCATGCTGTTTTCCTAATGTCAGCGGTATGTTTACAATAAATGGCTCCGACCAGACTACTTGGGGTGTTAGATAATCTCTATGAGCACCACAGCGACCCATCAAGATTAATAAACTCCTGAGTGCACACCGTATAAGTTAACTTGCAGAATCGTTGACAAAGCCGTCCCGCCACCCAGGTCACTTTTCCTGTCCCAACGAAATATTGGCTTCCCTGATATTGGAAGCTCCTGCTTCTTGATTTGAGAAGATACCCATGTTTCAGATATTCCTACCACATGACTATCGTTCATGTCACTTAGTTCATACAACCCTTTCATTTTGTCAGATAAAGTAACGGTATCTGCATAAATATACATCTCGTCTGTCTGAATGAGCCTCGCATGAATAAGTAGGTAACCTGCCTACACACGGATTTCTGAAAGGGTAATCTGTGGCTCCAAACTGTTCTGAACTGCACGTTTCGTAGATTCCCTTAACCAATTTATTCAAATGTGCAACAATGAGCAACTAGCTAATCTACCATATATTAATATCAAGAAATCATTTGGCAAGCTACTTCACGTTATATTAATCAACAAATGCTACTACATCGAAATTTCTAATCTTCTTCTAAGATGGGTAGATAGTAGGTAACCACAGCATCAACGAAAATCTAGCCAAAAATTATTATTGTCAGTAAATGAATAAGGCACTGATTCCTATCACACCGTTTGTAGATGAATTTTCTACCCTAGCAGTTCACTTTGTTTCCATTAGGTGTAGGTTGAACGCGCTATCCCCTAGTCCAATATCAAAACACAGTAATTCTAGGAGAAAGCGGTCTATTTTTATTATAAAATGGAAATACAAACAGTTACCTAACTAATAATACACCTTCCAAGTCCAAATTACCCTGATGGGTATCCGATTCCAAAAGAATAAGTGTTACTAGTTCAAACTGCCACGGTATCAAATCCAAATATAGCTGTAGCCATATTAAATATCAAATTTAAACAACATATGTACAGTTCAGAAGCAGACATAAAAACTTCAATATAAGTACAAAATATAGAAATAATAATAATATACAATGATAAAATCTCAAAATGGAATCAAATAGAGTACCAAAATGTCATCAGAAAGAGTCAGTCATATCATAACACAAATATACATACATGGAGGGATTTTCCAATAAACAAAACATTCAAAAAAGATTCTACACCGTTCTTCCAAAAATGACTAATGACTTATGGTTACCGGTTATACAACGAAGTTACTAGCCCAAAAGTGTTAATAAGTTCATTATATCAGTGAAACTTGTTTATCGCAGAATATTCTTGGAGACCTAGGAAAATAGGTATTGCATATGTATGTGAGACATGAAAGTAGGGTAAATTTAAAACCGCATACTGTCTGACTTTCAAAACGAATCTAATTTAATGGGGAAACACATGATTACAAAGGTGCTATTTATTTATGAAGTCGCTTACAAGACCTGTATCAAAACGGAAAAGCCTATACTGAAAACTGGCTCAGGAAACTTAACCTATGTATTGAAGACTTAGATAATAAACTCCCTTGACTGAATTAGCAACCGCTTTGTGACGAAAAGTAGTGAGTATGAAGAATTCAAACCACAAAATATTGGAAAGTACCATATTATCCTAAAGGGCGGAAACGCAACCTGCAATCGTTTAGTCATTTTTAGCTAAGTTAACTAACAAATAAATGCCTTAACAAGTATACGTTTGTTGGGTACTAGTTCGGCCGTTCAGTTCATTTGTAGTGCCTCCACATATATTTCAGTTCTCTCACACCTAACTTGGTTAAGCCCTTTCGATTAATTTATTTAACCAAGCCATTTGTAAAACAATAACTTATATGTACCATTGGCTTTTATTATTGTGTGGTTTGTATGCGCTGGTATGATTGAACATTGTTTACACTTGCGCGCATATTCATACTTTTCGCTTTAATGTTAATCTCTTAATATCCTCATGAACTCACATGATTTGTATCGCTTGCTTTTGACCTTGTCAATCATTCGTCGCTTTTATTCATGTGTGTGCATACCTATTTCGCTTGTCATATGTCTGTCTTATTCTTATCTGACTATATATTCTTATTCATGTTCTATCTCTTTGAGTTGGCTCAACAGCCTTCTCCTATTCGCTTCACTTATTCGCTCGCATTGTAATCCAAAGAGTTGGCTCTTAGCCTTCTCCGCTTCGCTTTGTGGTGTGCCTCGAATAAACGTATTCATCAATACGAGTTCATTTTCTGATTTATAAACCGAGCTTAAGAACACGCAGTTATCGGCACACTACACATTTTTAAGAATCCTATTGAGCCGCAGCAGATGCAGTTACTGATGTAGGTTGCGTCAGCGTTCGATGTACTTACAAATACTGTCTTATCGAGACTTATGTGGCATCAAATTTGTTGGTTCAGCTACTCGAACTTAACAACCAAGGAACTAGGATTCAGATTCTTCGAAGGAAACTCGGGCTAAACTAGTCAAAGTTCTAATTCCATTGTTCATGTGTTCAGTGAACTTGACTTTAGGAAGATGAATGGCGTTTGACATTATGACCTAAAACACGCTTTATATGGAAAGAATGGCTCAATCTCCTCAGCGTCTGGTGATAGGGCCGAGTGTCGGTCGTAGGCATTTTTGGGATAACGCCAGTCTGATACATACAGATCTCGGCTAATCTCATTGACCGGCATATTCATCTCATTGATGGGGATTTTTAGGACAGATTTGTTGTGATGTGCATATTATACACGGCAAAAGTTACCAGTATAGTATCGACGCAACATCACGAGCTTAGGAACGAAAAGACTTAAGATTAATAATGAATTATGACTTGGAAACAATTTCAGTGTAATGTAGCTGAAGCCGAAGGTTTTTGAGTGTTATGGTTGTATTTTTAGCATTGAAATGTTCTTATGAGGATATATTTTAGGTTTTATGCCTCAACTAATAGCTATCTCACCTAAAGAAGGGCTGCTTCATGTCTGACTAAAGCTACTATCACACCCAGGCATGTCTGGTGTGGGGGAACCAGACTCTCGAACCCATCCACGATGAGCGATTGAAGCCTATAAATATTTTACCTTATCCAATCGTAGGACGCTGAGTGAGCCTATTTTACCATTCCGTATATTGAATAATGTTTTAGATGTTAACATGTGTTATTTTTAGGCTCCTCTCACAGCTAACCATCGCTCAGGCCACTGCAAGTAGGTCCAAAAATCACGATCAAATAAACTGAGAGTGAGATTTGTCTTTCGGCATTGAGTGGTCAATGATTTTCGCACCCTACCGAACAAGTGTTATCAGCACATTCAGAGAAATCTGTTAAGGAAAATGGATCTTCATTGCAAAACAGTTTGGAGTGATTAAAACAAATTCATCGAGCTACTATCATTGTTAATGAAAACTATGGTTTCCACGGAAGTTTTTACTACTGTTTTTAACCATTGAAAATATTGGGAATAACCTCCGTCTGTTATTGGCGGACCATTTGCGCGTCCTTTGTAACTTCGCACTGAAGTACAATTCAAAACTTTGGGATATTATACGCTGTCGTAAGTGAATTTTCAGTCCTACTGGATCTGTATTTACCTGTAGGAGATTTTTTTAAACATTAAGGTATGGTCGTTCACGATATCTTTCAAGAATCTAATAATAATTAATTGGTGTTAATTATTATCATGAAAAGCTGAATATGCGGGAATATTCTAAAAAAAGTACGGTAGTTGTATGCTAGGTTCACGATAGGCTTTCTTTTGGAGTGAGCATCAAAAGGGTTCATTGTTGTGCTTTTCAGAAACAAAATCCATTGATAGCAAAGTATCGACACAGAACCGTGTTGGTTTTCATTTTTTCTTTATCGCGTTTCCTGTCTTGCTCAAGTATCTAATTAGTTTCGATGTCTCAACATTTAGCATGTTTATTTTCCGGAACGGTTGGTGGTCCAAGTATATTTCGTCTGTTGACATTATTTTTGACACTTGATCTGCCGTTCTGGCCCACTACTGATTTCCAGTTTAAACTGATAGATCATGTTGCCTATGTTTGACCTTTCTTCCATCTAACAATAAATATCAATAAACACTTCCAAGTTACTGAAAAACTCAAGTCGAATATTTTACGTTTTAATGTCCGTTTTTGACACTAAATTCGGAATCATTAGAATTTATTATTGAGACGCTCTCTGTCAGCATATCCTCTAGATACCTTATAAGTAATACTAAGTCTTCACAGGATTGGGAATTACAAGTATTGATATAGACTACTTGACTTGCTGGTATCACTGAAATGTCTTTGCACACTCCCAGCATTTAAATTGTTACGTTCGCTGCTCCTAAAGGTTTACATACGCCTCTTATCGCTAATAGATTAATGTCGCTGACCAGCATCCTTCAACCAACTCTCCTCGGCTCTCCTTCCCAGCTGTCCCCGATTGCTATCCATCCTGATGTTCAGATGCTTCCCAGGTATGTATAGGTTTACAAATATTCCAAAGCTTCTCCATTAAGTGTGATTTAGTTGGTGAATGCTATGTTGCATCTAAGGATCTTGTTTTTCGTTCTTATCTTAATAAGGTGTCCTCCTTCCTAGTGTGTTGGTACTTGTTCGTTCCCCAAAATCTTGCTAAAGAGAGCGTGGAACATCTTTGCAGTTACTGTTATGTCTGCCTTCAGTTCCTAACTCGGTTTGTTGTCTAGCTTTTCTGTTTTGTCATTCTATTTGTCTGATGGCCATGCTGATCTCTTCAATTTTTGATGGTATGTGGGTTGGTTCGGTGGGGTTTGTTTATTCGAGTTTTTCAAAGTGCTATACCTACTTGTTTCACTGTTCTTCAATGTCGATGATTGCTTTGCTTTCCTTGTATCTCACAAGTCTTTATGGTGTACTGCATTTTTCAATGAGCTTCGTTGTATCGTATAGTTGTCGCATGTTTCTTTCTCTTGCAGCTTTGTCTGCTATCATCGTTAGATCTTCTACATATTTATGTTTGTCCGCTCTGATACTCCTCTTCACTTGCTTCTCTGCTTCCGTAGATTCGGCTTGTGCCTTAACTTTCTCCGCTTTTGTTCGACTGTTATTGATTGCTATCTTACTCTTCTTCTTTTCTTTAATCTTATCCTGAGTGTCGACAGAGATCCATTCCTTCTGATATTGGTTCTTGTGGCCCGAAACCTCATCACATGTTGAAGTTAATACTTCTTTGATCTCCTTCTAGTTGTTCTCGATGGTAGTCTCCCTTTCATTGAGTAGATTATCAAAGGCTTGGAACTTATTACTGGAGGATATCTTGAATTCGTTGAGTTTTCTAGTATCCCGAAGAAAGTCCGTATTAGACTTTTGTGATGCTGTTCGACCAGTTGTTCAGTGCTTCCTGAGTTTCAGTTTCATTTTGGCCATCACCAAGTGGTTATCAGTGGCTATATCAACTCTCTTGGTTCTCACGTCGTCCATCCTACTTCTGAAGTTTATATTGATGCAGATGTGGTCTATTTGTTTCGGTGTAGTGTGATCGGGTGAAGTCCATGTAACTTTGTGTATGCGTCTGTGTGGGAATATTGTGCCACCAATGATCAGTTTGTTGAACGCACATAGATTTGCGAGTCTCTCACCGTTTCTGGTCATTTCTTCCAGTCCATGTCGTCCCATGATGTCTTCGTATCCATAGTCTTGGCGTTTAGGTCTCCCATGGGTGTTTCTTCACAATTGACTACAGCCCTCCCATAGAGTTGATCTTAATCGTTCTGATAGTTATCGTTGACGATGAAGTTCACTGTAATCCCCTGTCTCTTTGTCTCGAAGGATACTTTGATGATCCTGAGTGGATGAGATTCCCATCTTATAAGTGCTTTGTGGGCTGCTTTGAACAGTGTCAGTACAACTCCTTGTGTATGTGAGGCATTTTCTTCTCCATGAACGGAGTACAACAGCATCCCTCCTGAAGCTAATCTTTTCTATCTAGTTTGCGTTAATTGGGTTTCACTGATTCCAAGAACAATCAAGTTATACTTTTTCATCTCCACAACAACTTGAATAGTTCTCCCGGTCTCAGTATGCAAACATTCCATGTACTTATATTAATTGTTGTTCTGGCTATGAGAACAATAATCAGCCTCGTGACTTCCGAAGAAACTGGGCTTTCATCATGAGGCCTGATGACGGTTGTAAATTAAGACCTTTCAACTGCCAGGACAGAGTTTAAATGGTTTGAATTGTTTGTTCTGGTTAGCAAGCTGGTTTTCTACAGGATGGGTTGGTTGCTTCAAGACTGGGTTGAATTGGCACCTGAACTAGTGATAGGGAGTGAAGTAGGCGGGCGTGTTGATCACTTCACTTATCTGGGGAGTCTCATCAGTGCTGATGGCCTGGTGACTGACGAAATAGCTCGGATACAGAAGGCTCGATTGGCTTTTGCCAACCTACGTCACTTATGGCGTAGGCGTGATATCCGTTCGCTAACCAAAGGGCGGGTGTATTGCGCAGTAGTTCGTTCCGTTCTCTTATGTGGCTGCGAAACATGGCCGTTAAGAGTAGAAGATGTTCGTAGGTTACTTGTTTTCGATCATAGGTGTCTTCGAAGCATTGCTCGTATACCGTGGGACAACCGAGTGAGCAACGCTGTTATTAGGAAACGGGTGCTAGGTAAGAATAGCAGATCAATAGAGGAAGTATTGAAAATCCATCAGTTGAGGTGGTTGGGACATGTGTTACGTATGTCTAACCACCGACTGCCGTGACGAGCTGTTTTGTGGTGTAGGAGTAGGTTGGAAGGAAGCTAGGGGCGGCCAGACCAAAACATGACACAAATCCATGAAGTCACTGACAAGTGGACTGAGTCATGTTGGTAGATGTAGACTACCTGGTTGGGGTCCGCGAGACGAAAGTCATCAATGGTTAGAGACCTTGAATGACATGGCTCAGAATCGTTTGCAATGGCGCAGGTGCATCCATTCGTTGAGCTCTCTCAAATCCTAATCTTCTGGAATCGTCAGCACCTTTACCTTTGTCTTTCTAACCTTATTTCACTTAATTATACTTGTTGAATAATATCTTCAAACCCTAGTCTCCTTCATTACCATTAATACCTCTACTATGTTTATCACTATGGGATCTGATTTGACATTTGCGTCTCTGTGCTAATGTGGTATGGCAACATGAACTTATGTACATACGTACGAAGTTCTACGTTGCAACTGACTGACTGACTGACTGAGGATGGGTTGGTTGACCCCGTGCCCAACCTTCCTTTATCCGGGACTAGCAGCAACTCTCGAAAGACTCCAGGAATAGTTAAAAGGGTAAACAGTAATTTAAAGAAGAGCTCACTTTCATATCCTGGATCTTCTTGTTTCGATCCAGAAACTCAGCATGGAAATTCATCTGTGTTCTAGCAGCAGTTTCTTTGTTATAAGAAAGAATAATCTTAGAACTAATTTTAAACCAAAGGTCTTGATGATTGCAGATTTTGCCTATCCTTGCCTCTTATTTTGTTTGCAGCATGCCCTAACAAGCGAGTTTATAAATTCAGTTCATCTGTTAAAATAAGTGAACCGGTAGTAGTTTTGATAAAATCACCATTTCTTTGAATGAATACTCGAGTAGCTGTTGATCTTGAACACTGTCAAGGATATTTTTAGTCCTTGTAATAATTGCTATTGCATTATATTTTGATTTCCTTACCACTTAGATTTTTAAATTGCTCGGTATATAAACTAGCTCTCATATATCCCAGGCCTTATGTTTATGGGATCATTTTAACCATAATCTCGCTATGCCTTAGACTCAGTTCTATTATTTTCCGAATAGAAATACTTTGTATCAATCTAATCCCAATTTATAAACAGAACTAGAGCTGATTACATAATTGACGATTAAACAGATCCAAATAAAAATCAAGTTCTTCACTTGCACGTTCTAAAGCAAATTTTTTTTTCTGGTATGTTTAAAAATAAACTTATTGTACTTAGTATCTCTAGCATAACCTTTAATTTATGGGGTCTTGTCGGAATTCATTGTTCAAATCTTTCTCTTTTATTATTTTAGGTACTTCTGATAACTAATCTGTAGTGACGTGTCGTCAACGACAATGGATGCTTTCTTATCTGCATTCAAACAAAAACCGCAAGAGAGCAAACGATGCATAAAAAGTCAGAAACACATCCCTTGGGTTGAGAAATAGTTGGTTTTCCTCTTAGAAAAAACTAATCCTTGTAGTCGACCAAAAACAATAGACGAAATAGCTTATCAAACCGAGGTTGTTAACGTGCTTCGAAAATGCATTGAAGGATCTGATGTATGCCCTAGTTACTTTAACATTTTCTGTATAGTTGCCAAATTTGCTATTTTATGGACCACCAGGAACTGGTAAAACATCTTTGATTTTGGCTTTAGCTCGTCAACTTTTTGGGTAAGAAATTTACGTATTGCATATATTGACTTGATTGTGACCGATTTGGTTTCGTGTGCTGTTACGGGTATGAGGGCGGATGCCAATTCCCGTCTGCTCACACCATGGAAGTATGTTTCTTGAGAAACCTGAAAAGGAAGGTAGAGTAGCGTTGGTTTTGGAGACCTGGGAACGTGACCGCAGAGTCCAAGGGACAACTGCTTGAGGCCGGTCACACACGGCCTTTTTATGAGAAGCTTTTAAAGTGTTATCTCCGCTCTTTTTGAAAGGCCTTATCACTGAAGACGGAAATCCGTGAGGTAAAGTTAGGTGTGACATTTTTAGGGTCGACTTTTTCTAACCACTACCTTCTTTGTGAGAAGGCAGCACCGCTTCAGATGCTGGTTGTTCGAGGGAAACACCTTGCTGCTGTCACACCTCTCTACAATCGGCAGTAAGACTTCGCCATCAGATCTTGAGTTTCTACTTTTAGTCTCACTGTTTTCCAATCGACTTGCCTGTCATGGTAGAACCTACAGGAACATATGTTTTTCAACACGATTATACAACCTAGTCGTATTTTAGGTCATTTTGTATCCAAATAGTGTATCGGTATTATGTGTAACCACATGGCCAACCAGTGCCAGTTTAAAAAATGTAGAAAACAGGTTTGGTTCAACTCTTTGATATACCTTGTTAAGTACTAACAAGCATGAAACTAATTTCAAGCAAACCTAGCTGTCCACTAGTCCCTGATGCTAAATACGGTTTACATTAGGTTGATAGTTAACTCGTTCATCAGGTAACTGGGTATAAATCAAGCCATCAGATACAACGCAGAACTTCGTATGTAAGTACATCAGTTCAGGTTGCCATACCACATCAACACAGAGACGCAACTGTCATTTCAAATCCAAGAGTGATAGCGATAGTAGAAGTATTAGCAGTAATGGAGAAGATTAGGGAGCGAAGATATGATTCGAGAAGTATAATTCAGTAAGATAAATTTAGAAGGAGAAAGGTAGAGATTACGAGGAATGCAGAAGGTTAGAATTAAGAAGCACGCAAAGAGTGGATGCACTTGCGCCATTTGCAAACGATTCTGAGCCATGTCATTCAAGGTCTCTAACCATTGGTGACTTTCGTCTCGCGGACCCCAACCACATAGCCTACATCTGCCAACATGACTCAGTGCACTTGTCAGTGACTTCATGGATTTGTGCCATGTTTTGGTTTGGCCGCCACTAGCTTTCTTCCAACCTACTCCTACACCACAAAACATTGCTCGTCGCGGCAGTCGGCGGTTAGGCATACGTAACACATGTCCCATAAATCAAGTATGCGGGTCAATAATCCTACTCGGTTTCTTAAAATGAGTAAGCTGAAACTAGATCCGATCCTGGGAATTAGTGCCTGAAAAGTCAAACACCGGGTATAACTAGCATTTCAACAAATGATTTCATCACAATAATGTTTCAGGGTAGTTTCTAGGTCAGATAATTCCTTTAGTAACATTTAAGAACAACAGTATCACCTGGTTTTATCGCTTTTGGAATATCACCAAAGTTATCATTTAGACATGATAGAATTTTACAAGCTAGGTAAAGTTAATCTACTCAGTTTTGATCATCTCAACATAATCCAATTTTTTTTAAACCATGATTCAAATGTTTATCCATTGTTTTCTTTCATAAATTATCTATAAAGATATATAATTTTTTCTATTTTCAAGTCCTTTATATTCAGAACGTGTTTTAGAATTGAATGCTAGCGATGAACGCGGTATCAGTGTTATTCGAGAAAAAGTGAAAACATTTGCTCATGTTGCTGTTAGTAGTAGTACTACAACTACTCAAAACTCTGATTCAAGTTCAATAAACATTCCACCTTATAAATTAATCATCTTAGATGAAGCTGATTCAATGACAGCACCTGCACAAGTAAGTTTCTTTTTGTATTCTCTGTGTTTATGTACCCTTAATTACTTACACACGCCTGTTACCCCCAATGGAGCATAGGCCGCCCACCAGTTTTCTCCAACCAACTCTGTCCTGGGCTTCCCTCTCCAGTTCTGTCCAATGTTTGTTCATTCTTCTCATATCTTTCTCTATTTCTCGGCGTAATGTGTTCCTTGACCTTCCTTTTTTCCTTTTGCCTTGAGGGTTCCAAGTGAGGGCTTGTCTTGTGACGCAGTTAGGTGCTTTTCGCAGTGTGTGTCGTATTCACTTCCACCGCTTCTTCCTGCACTGGAATGTGGTTTGTTCTCTCCCACAGTACGTTGTTGCTGATGGTGTCTGGACAACGAATCCGAAGTATTTTGCGTAGACAACTGTTAATAAAAACTTGTATCTTCTGGACGATGGCTTTGGTAGTTCTCCACGTTTCCGCTCCACACAATAGAACTGTCTTGATATTTGTATTGAAAATCCTGATTTTGATTTTGGTTGAAAGTTGTTTGGAGTTCCAGATATTTTTCAACTGTAGAAATGCAGCCCTTGCTTTGTCGATCCGCGTCCTCACATCTGCATCGATGATGCTGCGAAGATATGTAAAGGTGTCAACGTCCTCCAAGGCATCTCCATCAAGAGTGATTTGGTTTGTGCATGTTGTGTTGCATCGGAGAATTTTGCTTTTTCCTTTATGTATGTTGAGACCTACTGCTGTAGAGGCTGTTGCTATACTGGTCGTTTTCTCTTACATTTGCTGTTGCGTGTGCGATAGAAGAGCCAAGTTATCTGCGAAGTCCAGATCATCCATCTGCATCCTAGCTGTACATTTGATACCGTGCTTCCCTCCAGATGTCGACGTCTTCATAATCCAGTCGATGACCAGGAGAAAGAGAAAGGGTGAGAGTAAGCAACCTTTCCTGACACCGGTCTTCACCTCAAACGAGTCTGTCAGCTGTCCTCCTCTATAAGATTCTTTTTTTTCGTTCTTACTCTAATTGAAAAAGATTAATTCATTAGTTAAACATTGCCATTCTAAGCAAATACATCAGTGTCTGAATATGGTTTTCCAAAACCTATTTCAGTTGGATAGTAACTGCTAGGCAGTCAGACAGACATCAACAACATAGAACTGCGTACGCACGTACATACGTACATCAGTTCAAATTGCCATATGTCATTAGCATAGAGAGATGAAATTGTCAGTTAAAATCCCATAGTGGTAGAGGCAGTAGATGTATTATTAGCAGTAATCGGAGAGATTAGAGTTCGAAGACATTCATTATTCATGAAGTATAATCCAGTGAAATAAAATGAACAAGAGGAAGTTAAAGGTGATAAGGAGTTCAGATTAGAATTTGTGAAAACTGCTAGGCACATTAAATCAAGTGAAAATTCATAACAGATTAACGAAATACCATACATTTCAGAGGTTAATACACATGAAAACCAGTTAAGCGAAAACTTGAACTACTACTGCATGTTTTAAACAATTGTTTTCGGTTATATTGTTTATAGAAATAATATTTCATACAGAGTATACGACTGTGCACCCGAAATGTTTGTAATGGGTTTTCTCAAAAACATCTGTTGATGTATTATTGACTTATACTTCTAATTTTCATATGTTTTTTTAACTAGTCAGTCTCAGTCAGTTCAAATTGATGTAAAGGCGATGACTCAAGTGGTTATACCAGTCAGTCAGTCAGTCAGATGCAACGTAGAACTTCGTACGTAAGTACATCAGTTCATGTTGCCATACCACATAAGCACAGAGATGTAATTGTCAATTCAAATCCAATAGTAGTAGAGGAAGTAGAAGTAATCGGAGAGGTTAGGGTTAGAAGATATTATTCAAGAAGTATTATTGAGTGAGAAAATTTTAGAGAGATAGAAGTAGAGGTATTGAAGAATCCAGAAGATTAGGATTTGAGAGAACACAAAGAATAAATGCACTGGCGCCATTGCGAACGGTTTTGAGCCATGTCATTCAAGGTCTCTAACCATCGATTATTAGCATCTCGCGGACCCCAACCAGGTAGTCGACAATTACCGACATGACTCAGTCCACTTGTCAATGAATTCATGGATTGCTGCCATGTTTTGGTTTGGCCGCCCCTAACTTTCTTCCAACCTACTCCTAAACTACAAAACAAAGCTCTTCGAGGCAGTCGATGGTTAGGCATACGTAGCACCGACTGCCTCGTCGAGCTTTGTTTTGTAGTGTATCTATATTCCCCTCTTGAATAATTACTTATCTGTTTATTTATCCCCTAAATAATTTAGGCTGCTTTACGTCGTACAATGGAGACTGAAATGAGAACTACACGATTTTGTTTAACTTGTAATTATGTTACACGTATTATTGAACCAATCACAAGTCGATGTGCTAAATTTCGATTTCGTCCATTAGATAATGAAATTGCACGTGCTCGTTTACTTCATATTGCAAATGCTGAGAATTTATCTATTACTAATGAAGTAAGTTCATTTTCTTTGTTTACAAGTAAAATTCATTGGCATAGTATACTGGTTATCCATATTCTTCGGTTTGAAGAGACTGATCTTCTATCACTGAACTTCAAGCAATCAGTGTGGGATGAATAACCTGCTTCCTTTTCTAGATAATGGTCCTATCATCGATAAGACAAAATCTTAGCTTTCATAGTCGTTATTCAATTCAGTACAAACGTGGGATAATAAAGACCTTATTTATTGAGATCAATCATATGTGCATTAACGATATTGTTGTGGCAGAATTAAGTCTCTTGGCTGAATAGCGTTTAGTCATTGAATTATATAAAACAGGGAAAAAGAAACGGTATGATGAAACCTACTACGATTCTGGAACCAAAGCATATATTACTGTACTATTCAGAGGTGACTCAAGTAGTCTTAATTGTAAAAGATACTTTAATTAGTTATCAGTAAACATTCTATACCATCAAACTCACTATTATCAAAAATTCGAGTACTTTATTTCATCAAAAAAAACTTTGTAACATCCTATTGCGTTGGCCAACTTGTGTGTATTTATGTGCCGAAACATAGGGAGGTACAATTGTGAGAGTAGCCGAACACAATTGGCTGAATGGTTACAGAAATGAATGCACGCCATTAGTGAAGCAAGATCACAAGATAGATAAATATCTTCTTATATTATGAAACATTTAGTTTCGGCGGGTCATAGGGTTTGATATCTAATCAGCTGTTTTAGTGTTTTATGTAAAAGTCTTGAAAAGAGTATACCAAAGTTTATTAAAGGCTTGGCTTTCCAAAAGCTGCGACCTCCTTTAATGTGTTCAAAAATAGTGTGTACTTACCTCTTTAGCCTACCTTTCAGTAATACTGATTTATTATCCAGGGTGGTTTTCACATTATGTACTTCATTGCTATTTTCGTTCCCCTCTTACCTTCTAATTTGTCTAGTTGACCTTTTATTTCTTTTCATACATAATAGCTTAATAAGTATATGTGTGATCAGCTTGTGCAAATATAGACAGACAGACAGATACAACGCGGAACTTCGTACATAATTACATCAGTTCACGTTGCCATACCACGTCAACACAGAGACGCAACTGTCAGTTCAAATCCGACTGTAGCTGCTACCTTGACATGGTGGTCGGGCTTGCCTATCGTGATGACGCAACCGAGCTATACTGGCTGGAAGATATGTTCCTGAAGGTTCTACCATGCCAGGCAGGTCGGGATGTGACAACCGCCCTCATACTGTAGTGAATGAGAACACAGGTGGAGGCAACCGAATTGTATTTAACGAAAATTACAGAGTTACTCAGTAAAATCGGAAAACCATATCGTAAATCGTTCATTTGCAAAAGATTAGTTCATCCTATGGAACTGGACTGTTCCTGTTGCCAAACATCAATCCATTGTCACTCTTCATGCGTTTCATACAAATTCCATTGTTTTCTGACTCTTCCTTTCTTGATCTTCCCCCCATATTATGCTACCAGACTTTACGTTGACACTCACGCTATATACTACTTATAAGTAGTTCGCACCACAGCACCACAATACCCGTAACAGCACACGAGACCAAATTGGTCAAAATCAAATCGTGCGAATATATCATATAGTTATGATAATCTTCGTTTTTTTCATTGCACCATCTAAATTGTTACTACTTTGTATTCAGTTCCTGAATCAGTAATTATATTATGACCAACTAGATTCCAATAGAACTTATACCGAGCTATGTTTTGTTGTGTAGGAGTAGGTTGGAAGAAAGTTAGGGGCAGCCAAACCAAAGCATGGCACAAATCCATGAAGTCATTGACAATTGGATCGAGCCGTGTTGGTAAGTGTAGACTACCTGATTTATTTCACTAGATTATACTTCTTGAATAATATCTTCAAACCCTAATATCTCCGATTGCTACTAATGTTGTGCACGAAAACGCAGGTGAGGACATTAACGTATATATTTAAGCGTATATTACAGAGTTGTTAGGCATATTTACAAAACCTCGTGAATCATCATTTGCAAACGAATCCTTATTTGTTTCAGATTTCAGTGTTCTTTCATTTAGACTGTTCAGACTTCAGTTCACTTTACGTTTCCTACAAATCGCCTTCTGTTTCATTTTTTCCTTCTCGATCTTTTGCTGTCAGACGTTTGATTTCCATTTGATATCATATTCTACTTATGTGAACATAAGTAGCGCACACCACACTAATACTTTTACTACTTCTACTACTATGGGATTTGAATTGACCACTGCTTCTCTGTGCTAATGTGGTATGACAGCTTGAACTGATGTACATATGTACAAAGTTCTGTGTTGTAACTGACTAACTGAATGGAACGCATACTGAAGTCACTTATGGGTAGGTTAGAAAACTACTTAGTTGTAAAAAAAGAATCATTCCACCCGTTGTTCGTTAATTCATGTCAGTCAGTCAGTCAGTTGCAACGTAGAACTTCGTACGTATGTACATAAGTTCATGTTGCCATACCACATTAGCACACAGACGCAAATGTCAAATCAAATCCCATAGTGATAAAGATAGTAGAGGTATTAATGTTATAATAAAGAAGACTAGGGTTTGAAGATATTATTCAAAAAATATAATTCAGTGAGATAAGGTTAGAAAGACAAAGGTAGAGGTGCTGACGAATCCAGAAGATTAGGATTTGAGAGAGCTCAAAGAGTGGATGCACCTGCGCCATTGCAAACGATTTTGAGCCATGTCGTTCAAGGTCTCTAACCATTGATGACTTTCGTCTCGCGGACCCCAACCAGGTAGTCTACATCTACCAACATGACTCAGTCCACCTGTCAGTGACTTCATGGATTTGTGCCATGTTTTGGTCTGGCCGCCCCTAGCTTTCTTCCAACCTACTCCTACACTACAAAACATAGCTCGTCGAGGCAGTCGGTGGTTAGGCATACGCAACACATGTCCCAACCACCTCAACTGATGAAGTTTCACCACTTCATCGATTGATCTGCCATCCTTACCTAGTACTCGTTTCCTAACGACAGCATTGCTCACTCTGGTGTCCCACGGTATACGAGCAATGCTTCGAAGACACCTATGATCGAAAACCAGTAACCTACGAATATCTTCTACTCTCACTGGCCATGTTTCACAGCCATATAAGAGAACGGAACGAACTGCTGCGCAGTACACCCGCCCTTTGGTTAGCGAACGGATATCACGCCTACGCCATAAGTGACGCAGGTTGGCAAAGGCCAATCGAGCTTTCTGTATCCGAGCTGAGATTTCGTCAGTCACCAGACCGTCAGCACTGATGAGACTCCCCAGATAAGTGAAGGTATCAACACGCCCGCCTACTTCACTCCCTATCACTAGTTCAGGTGCCGATGCAACCCAATCTTGAAGCAACATTTTGCATTTCGAGGGGGAAAACCGCATCCCGAACATGCTCGCATTGTTGCTTATGGTAGTCAGAAGACTCTGCATTTTGTCAGCGTCTTCACCGAATAGAACTATGTCATCGGCATATTCTAGATCAGTAAGCGACTTTCCTGGTAGAAGGTCAACCCCTGAAAAATCTGACGAGCTTAATGTTAACTCTAAGAGGATATCTACGTCAAAGTTAAACAAGAATAGAGAGAGTGGACAGCCCTGACGGACACCACTTGATGTAGAGAATTCAGATGACAGTTCGCCATATGCTCTCACCCGACCAGTGGTGTTCGAGTAGAGTGCTTGTATAAGGTTAATGTACTTCTTTGGTACACCTTTCAATGACAGACACTGCCACAGAACCTCACGATCCACTGAGTCGAATGCCGCCTTAAGGTCCAGGAACACGACTATTGTCGGACGTCTAAATGTGTGTCTGTGTTCCAGGACCTGTCGTAATGTGAAGATGTGGTCTATACAACCACGTCCAGGTCGAAAACCAGACTGGTTTTCTCGAGTCTGCTCTTCACGAGCTCTAGTTAGACGTCTAAGTATAATCGAGGCTAACAATTTAGAAACTATATTAGTTAAACTTATTCCCCTGTGATTGTCACAAGAGGACTTCTGTCCTTTCTTGTAGATTGGGACAATTAGCGACTGAGACCAGTCAGATGGGATTACGTCCATTTCCCAGATTCTACCTAGGATCTCGGTCAGTCTAACCGTTAAAACTGGACCACCATCCTTAAACATCTCAGGGGTAGGCCTATCAGGACCTGCCGCTCTACCTCCCCTTAGATTTCCTATAGCTTTCTCAACTTCATGTAAACTGGGAGGACTTAAATCGATTTGCCATTCAGGATGACTGGGGATCGTGGGCAAGCGAAGAGTGGCTGAAGGCCAGTTGAACTGATCCCTAAAGTGTTCTGCCCATCGGTCCAGCCTCCTAGATTGAGAATGGATAATAAGACCATCCTTTTCCGAGATAGTCTCACTCACATTCGGGTTCCTAATACCGGTTTCTTTGATAAGGCGGAAAAGTTGTCTAGTGTTGCCTATCGCCGCTGCCTTTTCCATCGCTTTTGCTTTCGCCACCCACCACTGTTCACGGTCGTTACGTAGGCTTTTTATAAGTCTGCACCTAAGCTGACTACGCTCTTCATCATGTTCAGAGTCAGGTGGGATGCGTTTTCGAGCATCCATCAGTTCGGTGGATGCGACTGAAATCCACTGCTTCATCCTAGCCTTGTGGTTTACCTTGCTGGCAGATACCATTGCTGTTTCCACAGCCTTCTTGATATGATTCCAACCTGCTTCAGGATGGGAATCACTTGCATGGCCGCCTAACTGTTTTTCTAGTTCCTCCTGAAATATTATCTCAGCTTGATTATCATCAAGTAAAGCCCTAAGAGGCTTCCTTTCGGTGTCTTTCCTACGTCCAGCAAGCCTCAAACAAATACGTGCTCGCACTAGGGCATGATCTGAATCTAAACATGTGCCCCAGAACGAGCGACAGTCTTCTATCGAACCCCTCCATCGGTGGCTGATGGCGATATGATCTAGTTGTGTCCAACGTTGAGACGACTTCGGGGGTCGCCAGGTCAAAAGGTGTTTTTCTTTATGCTTAAAATTAGTGTTTGCTAGAAATAGTTGGTTATCTGAGCACAGTTGCAACAGACGGTCGCCATTGTCTGTTCTTTGAGCCGCGAGACCGTAACATCCACCTAGGTGTCTTTCATTTTCACTTAGTCTACCTACTTGTGCATTGAAGTCACCAACCATTATAACTATATCAGAGCGCTTAACATTTTGGAGGAGGTCCGAAAGCTTTCTGTAGAACTCATCTTTTACATCATCTGGGCTGCAGTCAGTGGGGGCGTAGGCTGATATGACGAAGAGGCAACGGCGAGTGTCCCTATCTTTCCGAGTCCTTACTGTCCCGTTCAGTCGGACGGCGCACAAGCGACTATCTACAGGGATCCAGTCAAGGAGAGATTGTTCTGCCCTACGACTCAATGCTATACCTACACCGGCGAGGCCCTTAGAAGCAGCATCAGGGCTACCGGATACACGAAGGGTAAATCGAGCTGCTTCTTTATCTTGACATGGTGAGGTCAAATGAGTGATGCTACTCGTATCCTGTATGCGCGTTTCCGAGACGCAGCACACATCGATGGAACGAAATTCTAAAGTCCTAGCTAATGATGCCTGTTGCCCTATTTGACACAATGTCCGTACATTAAAAGCTCCAACATGTAGTTTGGAACGGGGTTTAAGGAGACCAGGAACGACGTTTCGCAAACTCGCATCGTTGGCATTAGCTGTGCACTGTAATAAATGAATGTGAGAAAAGTTAGTTGTGGAGATAAGAGAGGTATTAGGGAATTTAGGAAGGATTTGATTTTGAACAATTTTGTCTCGTGTGCTGTTACGGGTATGAGGGCGGTTATCACTTCCCGGCTGCCCACACCGTGGAAGGTTGTTTCTTGACGAACCTGAAAAGGAAGATGGATTAGTGTTGGTGCGTGACCGCAGAGTCCAAGGGACAACTGCTTGAGGCCGGTCACGCACGGCCTTTTTATGAAACGTTGTTTGATGATTAGCTCCGTTCTTAAAGGCCCTTAATGGGCACCCTTACCCAAGGAGACGGAAATCCGTGAGGTAGGGGAGTTGTGACATTTTTAGGGCCGACCTTTTCTAACCCTTCCTTCCTTGTGAGAAGGCAGCATCGCTGCAGCTGCTGGTTGTCCGAGGGAAACACCTTACTGCTGTCACACCCCTCTGCAGTCAGCAGTACGACTTCGCCCTCAGACCTTGGGTAGCTGCTTTTAGTCTCATCGTTCTCCAATCGACCTGCCTGGCATGGTAGGACCTGCAGGAACATGTGTTCCAGCCAGTATAGCTCGGTTGGGTCATCACGATAGGCAAGCCCGACCACCACGTCAAGGTAGCAGCTACGGTCGGGCGTTAATTCATGTACCAGTATTCATTACATCTTTGTATTAATTCTCTTTATGGTTCACCTGTAAAATTACAAATTCTACCATATGAAACAAGTATGGCTGAATGTTAAAAAAAATCAGGTGATACATGTTGGAAAATCCCAATCACATCAAGAATCAAATAAGCAGTTCCTGGATTATTGACCTCACTTTTCACCAGTTAACCTACATATTTGGAATCCAGTTTCTATGTTCGTTTTGACCATCAATTTGGTATGCGAAATTCAATCTACCCATTAAGACTACAGATAGACACAGATACAACGCAGAGCCTCGTACGTAAGTACATCAGTTCAGGTTGCCATACCACATCAGCAGAGACGCAAATGTCAGTTCAAATCCAAGAGTGATAGCAATAATAGAAGTATTAGCAGTAATGGAGAAGATTAGGGAACGAAGATATGATTCGAGAAGTACAATTCAGTAAGATTAATTTAGAAGGGGAAAGGTAGAGATTATGAGGAATTCAGAAGATTAGAATTTCAGAGAACACAAAGAGTAGATGCACCTGTGCCATTGCAAACGATTTTGAGCCATGTCGTTCAAGGTCTCTAACCATTGGTGACTATCGTCTCGCTGACCCCAACCAGGTAGTCTGCATCTACCAACATGACTCAGTGCACTTGTCAGTGACTTCATGGATTTGTGCCATGTTTTGGTTTGGCCGCCCCTAGCATTCTTCCAACCTACTCCTACACCACAAAACATCACTCGTCGCGGCGGTCGGTGGTCAGCCATACGTAATACATGTCCCAACCACCTCAACTGATAAAGTTTCACTACTTCATCTTTTGATTTGTCATCCTTATCTAGAACTCGTTTCCTAACGACAGCATTGCTTATACGGTTGTCCCAGGATACATAAGCAATGCTTTGGAGACATCGATGATCGAAGACTAGTAACCTACGGAAGTCCTCTACTCTTAACGGCCAAGACTACGTAAAATTTTATCAGTTGTTTAGTTTATCTAATCCAGTTTTTAATCAAACAAACGAAAAGGCAACTAGACTACCGATGCAGTGAATTACATATATAGTCACTTCTATTTGATTCAAATATCATGCAACTGAAATGAGATTTATGTAGTTTGGTCGACAGAGGTGGATTTTATAGTACAGAACATTTCGCACTAAATTGTATGCATTTTTATTATTATTCCGCATTATGTGTTAAATCATTTTTTCTTCAAAATTAAAATAATAATCAATTTTTTAGACACTAGATCATTTACTGTCACTTTGTCGTGGTGATTTACGTCAAGGCATCACAATGTTACAATGTGTTCATCAATTAATTATGTCAGTTAATGATTCCGATGTTGGTTCACCATCGCATATTACGCCAAAAGAATTAGATGAAGCTGCAGCTGTTGTTCCAAGTGATCTAATTAAAAGTCTTATTAAAACATCAGAAAGCGGTAGTTTCGATGATTTGCAACTCATCATCAAAGTAAGTCTTTTTTTTCCCAAAAAATTTGATGATTTTGGCTACTTACAAGTAGTATAATTTTATGTTACATAAATTATCCAAAGGTAATTATCAAGATTGAGAAAATGGTGCTTTAAAACCTAATATTGTGATATCTCGAAGAAATTGTCGACCAGTGATGTTGAAGACTGATGGCGAAGTACAGTTTCTGGTTACTGTTTTACTTGCTAATTTGGTATGACAACTTGAAATGATGTACGTACGTACGTACATACGAAGTTCTACATTATAGCTGACTGACTGACTAACTGTTACTGAATCAAGTTCGAATGCATTTAGTTGAAGATACAGAATGTATGATCGAAACTGAGTTAAGATTAATGCTTTAGTATGCCTAATGTATTCCATTCACATATTTAGTATGTACACCTTTACGAACTCATTAATTGGTAGTACATATGTAAATTTATGATTCGCGCATTAAATGTTACCTACATTTTTCTCAGTATAAGCTAGTATTGAATTTCCGAACTCAAACAATCCTAATCACTGTTCTTCGTAGACGTACACTACTTGGTTAGGGTCCGCAAGATGATAGTTATCGATGGCTAGAGACCTTGAATGACATGGCTCAAAACCGTTTGCAATGGCTCAGATGCATCCATTGTTTGTGTTCGCTCAAATTATAATCTTCTGAATTCCTCATGACCGTTTTTTCTTTTTTTTAACTGATTCCTCTGGGTTATCCATCTCGAATGATGTACTCGATCATTGATCTTTTTAATTAGTGCTAATACTTCTACTACCTATACTACTATGGGTTTTGAATTGACAATTGCGTCTCTGTGCTTATGTGGTGTGGCAGTGGGAACTGATGTACGTACCTACGAAGTTCTGAGCTGTAACTGACTGTTCTTGATGAGTGTCTAGCGGTTTAGTTGTGCTGTCCAAATATTACACAATAACAGATGTAAAATGACGAACTTCAGTACATTTCAAATGATTACAGATAGTATATTGTTAGCCTGTTTCTTCATTTCAAGCCATTAATTGTTTCTTTACATTTAGTTTTTGCAAGAAATTCCATCATGTTCATGTGACTGATGAACACATCGAAATTCTATGCAAATGAAATTTTAAAACTTGCTTTAATAATACAAAATCATCAAAGTAGATATTCTAAAGACTGATTTTCAAATCCATTAAACGAAAGATAATAACTTTGTCTTTCATTCGTAGAAAGAATACTTCCAGTTATCGAAATTCTGAATTTTTATTTCACAATAATTGTTTCCACATAAAACTAACCTATTTCACTTAATAATAATTTTTTTATTTAGAATTTATTATTGGAAGGATATTCAGCACATCAAACCATTTATCAACTGCATGAATTTGTAATCAATAATGAAAAATTATCCTGTATTCAAAAAGCATCTATTTTGGAATCGCTTGCTGTAAGTAATTTCTTTGTATTTAATAATGAAACATGAATATTCGATTTGAAATTTAAGATACATTGAAAATGTGAATTTTCTTTATTGTGACCAATTTGGTCTCGTGAGCTGTTGCGGGTATGAAGGCAGTTGTCACTTCCTTACTGCTCACACCGTGGAAGGGTGTTTCTTGAGGAACCTGAAAAGGAAATCGGGTTAGCATTGGTCTGTGCGACCTGGGAGTGTGATCGCGGAGTTCAAGGGACAACTGTTTGAGGTCGGTCACACACGGCTTTCTATGAGAAGATTTAAAGTGTCAGCTCCGCTCTTTTTGAAAGGCCTTATCGCTGGAGACGGAAATCCGTGAGGTAAAGTTAGGTGTGACATTTTTAGGGTCGACTTTTTCCAACCCTTTCCTTCTTTGCGAGAAGGCAGCATCGCTTCAGATTCTGGTTGTTCGGGGGAAACACCTTACTGTTGTCACACCTCTCTACAATCGGCAGTAAGACTTCGCCCTCAGACCTTGAGTTTCTACTTTTAGTCTCACTGTTTTCCAATCGACCTGCCTGTCATGGTAGAACCTACAGGAAAATATGTTCCAGCCAATATAGGTCGGTTGGGTCATCACGATAGGTAAGCCCGATCACCACATCAAGGTAGCAGCTACGGTCGGGAAATTCCAGTGTCAATACACAATGATCAATAAACAACTAATCAAAATCAAAGTGAATAGAACAAACTGTTAGTCAAATGTAGGGAAATTCGGATAGCTCACTGTTATCTGAAGTTCGTGCTAATAAGGTTCAGAAGACTGATGGAATTTTCACGATTAAACTATCCAGCTTAGTGGACAAAACTCCACCAGAATCCCAGTATCTCTTTGATAAATTTTAACCGTGTTTTTAGAATCAGATTATTTTTAACATTTCCACAGCATTAAAAATCGAATATTATCGTAATTTTGGTGACTAATAATTCGTCTATTAGGAATGAGATAGTACATTATTATGAAAGAATCAATGAATTGGTAGTTAGAAGATGATTTGACTTTAAAATAATAAGTTTCAGGTTCAAATCACACTTTTCATCTAGTTTGATTTAAGGGATTGCTTAAGCTATGTGACTTACAGATCATTGCCATAAACCCACTACTTGCAGTAAGTAATAACTAAGTAACTATGAAGTTATCCGTCAATGTAAATGTCTCAGTCCTTCAGGAGGTCTGTCTTTTACCGAATAGTTCCGCAGTAACATCCATCTCACATTTTTAAGCTGGATGGTGCCTGTTTAATTCCTATAGGGAGAGCGTCGAAGCTTTGATGGTTCTAGGTACCTATTGCTTGTTAGTATAAACAAGCATGAAATGTAGGCCCAGGATCTCTTGTCAACTAATCTCCAGCATATAACATAAGTCTGCAATTGTTGAATGAGTTCACTCTCTCTCTCTGTCGATAGTGATTGGGAAAAAGGTCCTTATGTTAATTTATACCATTATTAATAATCTAATCAAACAAATTAACAGCTGTCCGGAACCAATAATTCAGTGGATAACGCGTTTCATATGAAGCGAAGGGCACTGGATTTGAGTCCCAGTGTGAACAGCACCAATGGAATTCAAACACACACAGCTGATGAAACGCGTGTACTGGATTTCACCGCGAGCTAGAATTCGTCTATTTTATAAAGCATATTAAATTCTTATGATTTATATGACCAATGAATGTTGATATGATGCTTGTGATAACTATAAATTCTAACTTCAACTATTGGCAAATTAATAGAGATCAAGATGCTAAAGATGGCGTGATAGTGATGATAATAACGCAGATACATTCGCTTATAAATATAATTTCTAATATCACTTCTAGTGTTAAGTGTATTTTTGTTTACTATACTCTGTTCAAAATTTATCACTGTGAATACACTCTCTAGGATTATTAGCCCTAATAGTTTCATCTCACTGAGCTAATGGGGTATGTCAACTAGGATCAATGTTATACCCTATATCAAGTTCTATGTTGATGACGCAATAAGATGATGATGTTAATTTCTCCGTTCCGTCAATTCCAATATTCAAGAACTATACAGTTAGTTTATCTCAACAGATTAACTGGCTAATGTCAGTGGTTTATACTTCAGTTAGAAGTAGAACTTGTTTGTTAGGAGTAACTAAACAAATTGTTATAATGCTGCTACGTAGCTATTCAAATTCGATCATTCTAATACGACCCACATGCTATTCCCAATCTCCCATATATCAGAACGCAACACCGTTGGATGGAGTTATTTATTGGGTCGAGTACAGTAGAGAGGAAGGCAGGAAGGAACGGAATCATGGAGTCTTACAGATAGTGCGTATTTATACATTTAGGTCGAATAGGAAAGAGCATCGAAGTCTGTGACATTGACGATTTAGGACGACCAATAGGAAAGAACATTTGAGATGACATTGACATTCCGGATGACCAATAAGAGACAACATTGAGGTATTTGACTTTGACAGTTAAGACGACCACAATTTTGACCAATAGAAATCGACCAATAGGATTATACTTCCAAAAATAGTACTCTTAGGATATTTGGTGAATATCCTAACACAAATAAATCAATAAGTTAGATTCAGTATAGTGAAAATTTTAGACATTTCATTACATAAAATCATGGACTGATCTTGGCTAGATCACTAATGAAAACTTAAAGCACTAGGAGTCCTTTACTACCTAGCTTAAAGCTCAGCAGCACGCATCCACAACTTCATATCCAGGAATCAAACCTAGGACCTTCCCGCCCTGCGCGCGAATGCCTAACCTGTAGACCATTAAACCGATATTAATATCTAACTACAATCACTTCAAAAAATTTCGCAAACCTCATCGATTGCATGCAGTGAATAACTGTTCCATACCTGATATTGTTGGACTCCAATAATCACAGCTCTTCAGTAGAACTTAAGGAGTTGCATCTTGAAGTTAGTTACTAGTGAGCACATGATAATTATCAGTATAAAACAATTTATAGAGAATAGAACGTACTTCCATGCCTTCCAGGCTTTCAACGGTAGTCTGGATGCGATCAATTCGCCAATTTAACTACAAAAATAAATTATATTCAAAAAATATTTTATAGAATGTGTATGACCCGAGGTGATACACAGAAGAATGTGACATTCTGAAGACAAAAGTCGTAAAAGTTATTTGTTCAAAAAGACCATAGTTCATAAATTATTATCAAAAATGAAAGTTAATTTTTGATGATAATTTTGTTTTGTGGCACAGTTTTGGAGGTTTGCGTTTTTACACATTTGAAATCGTCAATCAATCATTGTTAGACCACCATTAGAAACCTGGAAGCACTGGACGGCCGTTTCGTCCTAGTATGGGACTCCTCAGCCGTGGGCATCCACGACTCCTGCCCCTCGCAGGATTCGAACCCGGGGCCCTTGGCATTGTAGGCGAACGCCTTACCATCGGACCACTGGGCCGGCATCCAATGGTGTTAATGTCTAACTCTGATTGATCTAGGGATTTTGCGCGACCTCACCCATTTGTCTTTGGTAGTTACTGCCTACACCCGACAGGGTTGAACTCCACTGGTCACGTCTTCTCAACTAGAACTCCGAGAATTTCCTCACGAAGCTAGTCACTAGTGAGCACTGTTACGATATTTTGGGGCACAGTTTTTTTGGAGGTTTGCGTTTTTACACATTTGAAATCATCAATCTATCATTGTTAGACCACCATTAGAAACCTAAAATGAATATGTATTATTGAGATATAGTGTGAAACTTGAAAAAAAGTACTAACTGTGTTTCTGATTGTTATTCTTTCTTCTAAAAACACTTTTCTCCAGCTTACTGATTCTCGACTGATTGATGGAGCTGATGAATATTTACAACTTTTGGCCGTTGGAGCGACTATGTTAAAAACTATTCAATCAAATTAAGAAAAAAATGTATGTATCCTTAAATTATGCGCCTTTTTTTCTCCAAAAAAAGAAACAAATAAATATTTCAGATGAACTGTGACCTTTTTTCTCTTTACATGGAACCAATGTTCTATGAACAACTTTGGGGCCAATAGAATTTACATACTGCTAATTGAAGTTCTATTTACCTGGATTGTGTAAATAATATTCTATTGTTTAGCATACAATTGAATTCATTCAGTTTTTGAGCAACATACAACATGACTTGTGTGCCTTATTAGTTCAGTTTACCACTCCATATCTACTCAGAGAGATAGTACTACCAAGATAAAATCCTAGAAGTAGTAACAACATCAGTATCTACGGAAAAACAAAAAGTGAATGCATTTGAGATGTTGTGACTGATCCGGAGCTATGTTATTCGACGTCACTAATTCATTGGTTACGATAATCGCACAGATCCCAAACAAGGTAGTCTGCTCCTGTGACTGTATTTGATAATGGTATGTAAAATAGCAAAAAAAAATCATAAACTACATGATTTCGATAAGTTTCTTTGATCTTCTCTAGTTAGATGATAAGCAGTGACAATACGACATCACAGTCTATCGAAATAATCAGAAATGTTGTTTACATAAATAATCTAATCTAAACTAAACTCTACAGTATATAAAACGGAATCGCTTGCGGTACCGGTTGATACTCAGCCTAGTGTTAAACGATAGACAGAATTAATATGGAAATCATTAATCAATCATTGTTAGACCACCATTAGAAACCTAGAAGAAATGGACGGTCGTTTCGTCCTCGTAGAGCTCCTCAGCAATGCGCAACAACTGCTCGCGGTAATCGGACCACGAAAGCCATCATCCACACGATACAAGTGTTTATTCACAGTTGTCTACGCAAGATACTGAGGATTCATTGGCCAAACTCTATCAGCAACAATCTACTGTGGGAGACAACAAACCAGATTTCATTTGAGAAAGAAATTAGGAAAAAGCTCTGGAGGTTGATAGGACACATTGAGGAAGGCATCTAGTTGCGTCTACAGAAAAAGCTGTAACTCGGAATCCTTAAGGTTAATGGAAAACAGGAAGACTAACGAATAGATTACGCCGAGAAACGGAGACAGACATGAAAAGAGATTGGGTAGAGTTGGCAAATAAAGTCCGGGTCAGAGAAGACTAGAGAATGCTGGTCGGTGGCTTATACTCCATTGGGTGTAACAGGCAAAAGTAACTTTGAAGCGTTCGTATATCATGGAATCGATGAATATGTGATCCTGATGTTCGATGTAGAGTAGTAGTACTACGAAGTGATGACATCAATTTAGATGTTTAGAACCTATGATATAATTACAGAACTGCTACTTAATTTGCAGCCTCTGCAGCAGTAGGTCTCAACATACATAAAGGAAAAAGCAAAATTCTCCGATGCAACACAACATCCACCAAACAAATCACTCTTGATGCAGATGCCTTGGAGGACGTAAACACCTTTACATATCTGGGCAGCATCATCGACGAGAAAGGTGGATCCGATGCAGATATGAGGCCACGGATTGGCAAAGCAAGGGCTGCATTTCTACAGTTGAAAAATATCTGGAACTCCAAACAACTTTCAAACAAAACCAAAATAAGGATTTTCAATACAAATGTCAAGACGGTTCTACTGTATGGAGCGGAAACATGGAGGACTACCAAAGCCATCATCCAGAAGATACAAGTGTTTATTAACAGTTGTCCACGCAAAATACTTCGGATTCGTTGGCCAGACACCATCAGCAACAACTAACTGTGGGAGAGAACAAACCAGATTCCAGTGGAGGAGGAAATCAGGAAGAAGCGGTGGAAGTGGATAGGACACACTACGAAAAGCACCTAACTACGTCACGAGACAAGCCCTCACATGGAACCTTCAAGGCAAAAGGAAAAGAGGAAGGCCAAAGAATACATTGCGCCGAGAAATAGAGAAAGATATGAGAGGAATGAACAAACATTGGACAGAACTGGAGAGGGAAGCCAAGGACAGAGTTGGTTGGAGAAAACTGGTGGGCGGCCTATGCTCCATTGGGGGTAACAGGCGTAAGTAAGTAATTTGGGGTTAGTGTATACTTGAACAACATTTGGATACAATTACTTATCTGAGCAGTATTACTGATTAACAAGGTGAATCTGATACAGATGTAAAGACACGGATTTGTAGAAAATCAGCATTTGTACAATCGAAGAACATAGGCAACTCAAAATAACTGTCAACCAACACCAGAGTCAGGATTTTCAATAAAAATATCAAAGTTGTTCTATTGTATAGAGTAGAAAGTTGGACAACTATATATGCCATTATCTAAAAGATCCAGGTTTTTATTAACAGTCAAAGGAAGCAAGGTAAACGAAAGAACACCCTGCGCCAAAAAGTGAAGAGAGATACGAAAAGAATGTATAGCTATTGGTTAGAACTGGAAACGAAAGCTTACAACAGAATAAGTTGGAAAATTTTGTCCCACAACTAATGCTTTAATTGGGGGGTAATAAACCGTGGAAATTAATATTGTAGTGAACGAGAACACAGGTGGGGCAACCTTTACAACAAAACTAACAGAGATGAAATTCAATAATAAAAATTGTATATATTTTAATAAATAATATATATATATATATGTATATAGTTTATGAAATTATTGTATTCAAGGTAACAATGGAGGACAACAACAAGGTCAAACAATCATAGTAGCAATAATAATAATAATAATCAGTGAATAAATACTTCCACGAATAACAAACAACACTAAGAACACAACTGAACATTTTTCTTCATTTCATTGTAGCTGAGTCCTGCTGCTGCTGCTGCTGCTGCCATATAGATTCAGAAAACAAAACAATACATCGGACACATTAATTATACACTTGTTCTTCTTATAGATTTATTTATTTACAATTTATTAATGAATAATAATAATTTGTGAAACTGATTCTCATCATCAGCCTCCTCCCATAAATGCTTTTTTAATGTTGAGAGAAAAAAAACACAAACCAGAACAAACCGGAACAACAAAAAGGAAAGTTAAATGATATACAGTGATGTCAGTTTGTGTACACACACATTAAATAAATATCACCGGAAGATAAGATTTATAAATGTAAAATTGTATATATATATATATGTTTCTTTTATCTAAGTAAATACAGAATTGAAGAGTAAAGTCGACTTGTTTTAAGTGATAGAAAGGGTAAAACGGAGAGAGAGAGAGAGAGAGCAAAGAGTTGAATCAAATACATGAAATACGTGAAATATCAATCAATCAATCTGTGGTGCGCGTCGTTTCGATTCCGGCACCATTAACAACAATGCTTCAAAGATTCTAATCGAGCGACTAATTTCAATGCTGGTCCTATTTTCATTCCAATCGGTGGTTGAATAAATTGATCTTCAGCTAGTAACAGTAAGGCTTCTCCATCGATTTCATTATTTAAAAATGCTGATGCATATGCACCACAACCTGGTGTACCACGAACAAATGCAACCACATCATCCGATGTCCATTTATAAATTGGACCTTTCGGTGGTGGAGTAGGTGTTGCGGTATATAATCCAGAAGATGGAACTGATGTTGATGATGCTGCTGATGATGATGAGGTAACTGTCTGGTGCGATATACCATACATCTTTGTTTGAGCAATACTACTATTATTCCCACTACTACTACTACTACCAACAGATAATCGTTGTTGACATGTAGTAGATGGATTGATTCCACCATGCATAATCTGTGTAATGAGAGAAAAAGATTTTTTAAACAAAAAATCAATAATATTGTTTTATTTTAAAAAAAATACTTGAATAACAAGCATAAAATGTGCGTGTGTGTGTGTGTGCGTAGCGCTAATAGTTCAAAATGAATATATATGCATGTTTAGTGCATTAAAAGAAAAGTTCTCAACAGTTAAATTTCTTTATAATAATAATAATATTTTATGTTTATGTTCATTGTTTCAACATAATAAGAGATAAATGAATATTGAAATCAGAATAATTATGATTGTGATGATCCCAAGATAATTAGTAATGCGCAGAGAGCAACGTTGTTATTAGGAATCGGGTGCTAGGTAAGAATGGCAGATCAATAGACGCAGTAGTGACACTTCATCAGTTGAGGTGGTTGGGACATGTGTTGCGAATGCCTAACCACCGACTGCCTCGACGAGCTTTGTTTTGTAGTGTAGGAGTAGTTTGGAAGAAAGCTAGGGGCGGCCAGACCAAAACATGGCAGAAATCCATGAAGTCATTGACGAGTGGACTTAGCCATGTCGGTAGTTGTCGACTACCTGGTTGGGGTCCGCGAGATGATAATAATCGATGGTTAGAGACCTTGAACGACATGGCTCAAAATCTTTCGCAATGGCGCCGGAGTATTTATGCTTTGTGTTCTCTCAAATCCTAATCTTCTGGGTTCTTCAACAACTCTAGTTTTGACTTTCTAAACTTTTCTCATTAAATCATACTTCTTGAATAATATCTTCTCATCCTAACCTCTCCGATTACTTCTAATACTTTTACTACCTCTACTGCTATTGGATTTGAATTGACAATTATATCTCTGTGCTGATGTGGTATGGCAACATGAACTGATGTACTTACGTACGAAGTTCTACGTTGCAACTGACTGAGTAATGCGTAGAAGTACAATGTTAACGTTTATTTTTATATTATTCATACTAAAAAATATTTCATCATATTTCACTCTGAATATAAATTGCTGGAGTAACGGAGTTTAGAGTAACTAGAAAAGATGTTGTTAGTTAGTTACAGTTGGTTAACTGTAATTGCACCTCAATTTTGACATCCACATTTGGATTTAAACGCATTAACTTTGCTTTTACTTTTGCTCTCAGAATTCGGACTCAGGACCTCCGGTCCTGTGCGCGAACACCTAACCTCCGGACCACTGAGTCGGTATCTAACGGCGTTAATGTCTAACTTCGATCAATTTGCAGTCTTGCGTAACCTCACACTGTCTTCGATGAACACCGCTTCAAACTCGAACAGGGTTGAACTCCACTGGTCACTACTTTTCACTAGAACTCGGGGACCCAGTCTAAGCACTAAAAATTCATTTTACATCTCCTTAATTTTGTAACCAACCGTCACAGCAAGGCAGTAAAAGTAGGTCTTCTATTATAATGGTTTGCTTAGATAATTCTCGGCTAAATCCTATTGCTTAGTATTCTCTGAAATGAAAAGCTTCTGGATAGAAATTCACGTGATCGACTGGATTAGATTTAACCAATCAGCACTCAGCTAACAATACGAGAATCTTCTACCCTGATTGGATAGGAAATTAGCCAATCAGCGCGCAGCAACGTAGTCATGCTTTAATTCCATCTATGTCCCATTAACATCTTCCCTTGCAGTAACCATAGTCACCCAGTCATATTGTACATCAATTTTATTTAAAGTGATGAAGACAATGACTTTCTCAATTTCTGATTACATCAATCGTTAGTGTAATAGAAGAGAAAACTTTAATAAAGTGGACGTCCATGAAATTAGTTGCTCATAAAACAATATATCAGTATCGTAATCAATACAATAGTCCAAAACTTAAAATGAATAAAGCTGGAGTGACCTAACTACAAATTTGAATGTATTCAATTATATTTGTTGTTTTATTATTACGGAATAAACGAGTCGACTGAGTGGCTAGTTGTCTTATCGTTTGATATCAGTTCAACGTCAATGAAACAGTTTTGTGAGCAACTATCCGTCAAGAATAAAGTCTGGTTGTGTTTCTTCTATCGATTAGTACTTTATTTGTTTTTCGCTTAGAAAATCTTAATTTACAACAATCATTATTTTTGTATTAAACTGTTTCTGTGAGAGAAAAAAATAAAATCAAACTGTTAGGATATTCATCCAATATCCTAAGAGAATTATTGGTCAATTCCTATTGGTTAGTTCCTAATGGTCAATTTTATGCTCGTCCTACATATCAATGTCACGTGCTCCAATGTTGTTTCTTATTGGTTGTCCTGACAATTAATGTCAATTCAAATGTTGCTTCTTATTGGTCGTCTTAACTTCCAATGTCACAGATTTCGATGCTGTTTTCTATTCGACCAAAATGTATAAATACGCATTATCTGTAACGTTTTAGGACCAGGAGCCGAATCTCTAGTACGGGATCCTGATTCGCTTCTGGACTCAGACCTTGTACATTCTGAATGCTTGTAGAATACAAGTTCTACTTCATATCAAGTCTTGTCTTATTTTTACTCAATATGGGGGTTGGGATAATCGGATTGAGTAGCATGTCGTGTCGCCAGGTCCTCGATCCTCGCTCTCGTTTTCCGTCTAAGGTAAACTCGTAATAGTTCAAGTATATCAAGTTGACGTGTTTACGAGCAGGCAAGATGACTCTATTTGGTGAAATTAAAATTCTGTACTGTACTGTGGAGCTATAAAACCTACAACAAGTAATTTTAAAGATTATATATTATAAGATGCATATTCTAATATGACTTACTCCAGAACTCGATTGAATTTCATTTAATGGCGGCTTATTAAGCGATACTGAAGATTCAGTGTATTGATGATGTTGTGAATAATTTTCAATCAGTTTACCATCCAAAGCAGTTAGTTCATTTCCTCCTTTTAAAATATCATAAGATGATTGTTTGTCATTTCGACTGGGGATTGATACAATCGGTGATTGAGTATAAACAACATTAGCTGAATTACGATTAGCTAAAGACAATATAGTAGAATGAGGATAAGATGCTAAAATTCCTTGTGTAGGTCGATGATAATGATGATTGATTGTTGTTGTTGATGATGATAACAATAATGCTGGAAATGAATAAATAGATTTATTTAAAAAAAACCATTAATGTAATTTGAAGATTGCTAAGATATTCACCAAATATCCTAAGAGTACTATTTTTAGAAGAGTAATCCCATTGGTCGATTTCTATTGGTTAAAATTATGGTCGTTTTAACTGTCAAAGTCAAATACTTCAATGTTGTCTCTGATTGGTCATTCGGACTGTCACTGCCATTTCAAGTGTTCTTTCCTATTGGTCGTCCTGAACTGCCAATGTCACAGACTTTGATGCTCTTTCCTATTCGACCTTAATGTATAAATACGCAGTATCTGTAAGCCTTCATGATTCGGATTCCGTTCTTCCTGCCTACCTCTCTTCTGTTCTCGACCCAATAAACAACTCCATCCCACTGTGTTGCGTTCGGATATATAGGAGATTTAGAAATAGCATTTTGGGTCGTATTGGATATTTGAATTGGACGCCGGTAGGACTGAATAGCGATACATAGCAGCTTTATAACAAAGGTAAATTATTGATTATAGGAGAATGTTTTCAATTCAATGCCTCCCCTCCCATCCGGAACTAATCTCAATTAATCCGTTCTAATGAAATATTAATTATAAGCTCATTTATTACTGTCTAACTTTGAGTGATGAATTTTTAGAAGTTCTAGTCATAAATTGCTAGTTAGTACAGTCAAGTAATCGAAGTGGTTGTCTATTGGTAATGAATGATATAGCGCTATCAAAAAGGCAAATTAATCGAATTGGAGAATACGGATTAGTATCGTGAAACCTGAGGCATTTTGTTTTCAATCTCTGGCATAGATGTAGGAGTAAAACACGAACAGCAGCTGTTCAGTGCTCTTTTAGCGGTTTCTCAGATGATATCACAAATAGTAACAAAAATAAAACCAGTAATAACTATTTCCAAAACATTGAAGTAGTTTTTTTTAATATTTTTATACGATTCGAGATACTATGTTTTGGTTTGGTCGCCCCTAGGTTTCTTCCCAATTTTCCAATCGAGGCAGTCGGTAGTTGGGCATACGCAACACATGTCCCAACCATCTCAAACGATGAAGTTTCATTACTTCATCTATTGATCTGCCATTCCTACCTAGTACTCGTTTCCTAACAACAGCATTGCTGACTCGATAGTTCCAAAATAAACGAGCAATGGTTCGGAGACACCTATGATCAAAAATCAGCAATCTACGAATATCTTCTATTCTTACCGGCCATGTTTCACAACCATACAGGAGAACGGAGCGAACTGCTGCGCAGTACACCCGTCCTTTGGTTAGCAGACAAATATCTCGCCTACGCCGAAAGTGACGCAAGTTGGTGAAAGCCAATCGAGCCTCCTGTATCCGTGCTGAGATTTCGTTACAAACCAGGCAAAATTTTGCATTTCGAGGAGGAGAATCGCATCCCGAACATGCTTGTATTGCTGTTTAGGGTAGTCAGAAAAGTATATGGTAGCTAGAAATATTACAACTAGCTATCCCTCCTTTAATTATTACAATTTCGCTCTAAGATCACTAACGCTACACAAGTATCTCCTTGCAGTCCAATTGAAATATACCGGTTTAAAATCGTTAATTAATTTTACTACTTACTTACTAGCAATACACATAAACGTGAACAACAACAAAGCAAGATTTAAATTAATCAGTGTCTTTTATAAATTATGGTAGAACAATGCAAAGATGGAGTTGGTTTGAAAATATGATGTATTTGTGCTATACGTATTTCGAACAATCTGCACAAGAGAATCAAGGCTTATGGAACATGTGCTTAGATGACTTTAATGAATATCATAAATGACCCTATAAATGTGGGAAATAGGAAACCATGTTGGTCGACAGCAAAATATCACATATTGTAGTGAACGAGATCACAGGTGGGGCAACCGAATTGTATGTAGCGAAAATTACAGAGTTACTCAGTAAAATCGGAACACCTTATCGTAAATCGTTCATTTGCAAATTATCAGTTCATCACATCAAACTGGACTGTTCCTGTTGCAAAACATCAATCCATTGTCACTATTCATGCGTTTCATACAAATTCCATTGTTTTCTAACTCTTCCTTTCTTGTTCTTCCCCCATATTATGCTGCCATACATTACGTTGACACTCACGTCATATACTACCTATAAGTAGCTCACACCACAATATGACCCTATAAATGTGGGAAATAGGAAACTATGTTGGTCGACAGCAAAATACATAATTGAGACGGGGCATAGGGTTGACATCAATATAGGCTTTTGAAAATGTTGTGTATAGAGAGAAATTGTCAAGGACGAATTCTTAAGTTGATAGAAGCTTTGGCTATTTGCTAATTAAAACCTCCCTTTATGTGTATAGAAACAATTTGTTATAACCTTGAATTTACCATGGTAATCGTTAAGCCAGGGGTAATGTGGCAACCCAAAAACTCATAGGTGACAAAGGATCAAGAAACAGATCAAAAGGAGGATACAATCAAAACAAAGGTGCAGACAATGACAGGTTTCAGGTCAACAGTAACCTATGAAGATCGAGGTTAGGAGAACAAGTTAAGGGTAAAACGTGGAGAAATTCGAAAACTTCACTTCTACTATCTGAAGTTTGTGCTGATGATGTTTAGTTCAGTAGGAGAACAATGAAAGCTCCACAACCAAAACACCATCCAGCTCAGAGAACCAATCATCCACCTGAGCTACACTAATTTTCTCCACCATCTCAAGTTTACATGTGTGTAACGTAAGATTGATTGTTCAAAATGTATGGGGGGGGGGCAAATACACATCACTTATTTCGCACGTCAACTAAGCGAGAGAGAGAGAGAGCGAGAAAAAAAAATAGAAAACTTACAATCATTTTCATCATGAATATCATTGTACAATGATTGTTCATTAGATGATAATGATGATTTACGACGTCGTGTATCATAATGCTGTAATAATAGCATATTAGACGGTGTAGGTGTATGCATTGAATGTTGATGATCGGAATGATGATTTGTCAACTTGTCAATAATAGATAATGATGAATTGGATACTTTTAATGAATTTATCCAACCGCCAGTAGCAGCAGCACAGTTATCAACGCTTTCATTCGATAGTCTAGATGAAGTAGTAGTAGGTGTAGTAGTAGTAGTCATGAACACGTCTGATTCATAATTATCATTGGATTTTACAATGGTTGTTGATGATGATGATTTGACAGTGTTCATTAATCGATCTTCATAACCGTTGACAATGAAAGTTTTCAGTGGTGGTGGGGATGATGATGATGAATTGGTAGAATTCACTAGACAAGACTGCTGTTGTTGTTGTTGTTTCAAAAGAGCTATTTCAACTAATTCCATACCATTTTTTACCTAATCAAATAATATAAAAAGGTTAATTGTAAATAAGAACATTTTACGTAATACACATAAATAAATATAAGAATGATCAATAGTCCCTATAGATGAACAAATCAAAATATGGCAACGCTGTTATTAGGAAACGGGTGCTAGGTAAGAATGGCAGATCAATAAACGCAGTAGTGACACTTCATCAGTTGAGGTGGTTGGGACATGTGTTACGTATGCCTAATCACCGACTGCCTCGACGAGCTATGTTTTGTGGTGTAGGAATAGGTTGGAAGAAAGCTAGGGGCAGCCAAACCAAAACATGGCACAAATCCATGAGGTCATTGACAAGTGGACTGAGCCATGTCGGTAATTGTCGACTACCTGGTTGGGGTCCGCGAGATGATAATAATCGATAGTTAGAGACCTTGAATGACATGACTCAAAATCGGTATTTAGTGGTCTAGTAGTAACCATGATTTTACTAAATGTTAGTCTGAGCAATATTGCTAAGTCCAGGGATCTCCTGGTTAGAGTTCATATAAAAATCGTCATTTATGGGTGTGTGAAATCGGATGTAGTGATAGAAATCATATATAAAGTGGCCAGTCTTAACTGTTTATTCTTTGATCCTATTTGCCATTTTTGGACTGCACTTCCCCAGCATTACCTTTAATCTCATTAATTTTCTCTTTGTGCTTATGTAAGGTGCGGTAATTTAGGCTAAAGTAAATACACTCATCTGAGACCAAACGTTGACTATGATTGGTTAATTGATTTGTTTAGAATAGTTCATTCAGAACACTTACTTGTAAGATACACAATACTATATTATAGATATATGTGTATAACTGATATGCTTGAAATATTACGAGTTCACCTTACTCAGTAAACAGAACGCAGATAAATGATGCAGTGACACGATAGGCTATCCTGATCCGATTGTCCCAGGCCATGCTAACTAGATCACGAAGTCTTGATAAGGCGTAGAGAGTGTATTCTACATGCACCCAGAAAGGTAGGGGTTGTTTAGCACAGAAATCAGGGTTATTTAAACAATGATAGCAAAGGCCTTGGTAGAGCCACAAAATAGCGTACTAAGAAAATCCCTTAACAAATGGCAGTTAAGGATTTTCCGAGTGGAAAATGTAAGCTGTAGGTCAACTAAGCTTCTCTTGGCGTGAAAACATAGAAATTCAAATTTTCAGAATAAAATTACAAGATCAGGACCTAAGTTCTGGGGATTTGACGTCCCCAACAGCCCCCCCTTTTAATAGTGTACGTTGCTAGGGTCAACTTGCATCTTGACTGCTGTACGCCGCTGTCGGAGAGGCCACCTTCTGGGACAGTAGATTAGCTCGTTGTTGAGCTTTATCACGTCGTGGGGGCTGCCGGTAAGTTGAAGGTATCTAGCAGCAAGTGAAGAGCAAGATTTGCTTCGCTTGATGGGCGGCGATATGGGGTTAGTCGTTCGCATATCTGACTCCGATGACGTGACCATCTATCGCCTCCTACCTCTACTTCGTACATAACAAGGCCAACAATCATATTGTATAACAGAAGCCATAAATTAAAACAATCACAACACACACACATACATATATATTTTTTTTAACTTACTGGAAACGGTTTATCACTTTCATAAATAATATGTCCATCAATATAATGCGTTAATATACGTCGATCATCTGGACCAATAAGTACAGGTGGAGGAGGAAAATGAAAAGGTGTTATTGTTGATTTCAATTTGGAATCGACTGCACTACAACTACTACTAGTAGTAGTAATGGTTGGGCTTGACAATTTTGAACAATTTACTACATCTTTCTGATCGATATTATTGATTGGTGAAGAAGTGTTACTGACAGATAATTTCATTTGATGATTGATGATAGTTCTTGATGTATCTTTGCCATTTTCATCTTCAATTGATAATAATATCTTATTTTCTTTTTGTATACAATTCGAGTTTGTGTACATCCATTTGTTATTATTATTAGGATTTGAAGGTGAAGCGGAAGAAACGGAACCATCTGTATTCTGGTGAAGATTATGAGTGTTGATTGCATCTAAGGGTAGTATTCGACAATTTGGGCTAATTGTTGGGGAAGTAATGATAACCGGTGAAGGAATGACCGTTGTATATGATGTCATATTGATGCTTGATAAAGTTGGCGTTAATTGTGTTGTCACTGTAGTTGTCGTCATTACAGAACTGTTAATAAAAGGAGTATATGATATGATGAAAATACATGAAGAACAAGGAATCTTAGTTATATTATCGTGGTCTATTGAATCTTTTTGTTAGCTAGTCAATCAATGATTATGATTAAAATAATAGTAGTAGTAATAATCATGGTATATATCATCAAAATTACACTAATATTACCTCCGCAAAGGTATATTAGAGAGAACGGCGAACTAATATTACCATTTTTCCCCCCCCCACGAATTATTATCACATATCAATAGTTATACATGTGGGAATTTGTAACAGAATAACTACTAAGTTTACACTGTAATTCACACAACCAAGTACAAAACTATGTACTTGACTCTAAGTGAAAATTCTGAGTTAAGGCTTCAGACATATTTTACTACTATTTAGCAGTTCAAATTAATGTAGGTGGTGACTGACAAAATCTCAGCACGGATACAGAAGGCTCGATTGGCTTTTGCCAACCTGTGTCACTTATGGCGCAGGCGAGATATCCGTTTGCTGACTAAAGGACGAGTGTACTGTGCAGCAGTTCGCTCCGTCCTACTATACGGATGCGAGACTTGGCCGTTAAGAGTAGAGGACTTCCTTAGGTTACTAGTCTTCGATCATCGATGTCTCCAAAGCATTGTTCGTGTATCATGGGACAACCGTATAAGCAATGCTGTCGTTAGGAAACGAGTTCTAGGTAAGGATGGCAAATCAATAGATGAAGTAGTGAAGCTTCATCAGCTGAGGTGGTCGAGACATATGTTACGTATGCCTAACCACCGACTGCCTCGACGAGCTATGTTTTGCAGTGTAGGAGTAGACTGGAAGAAAGCTAGGGGCGGCCAAACCAAAACATGGCACAAATCCATGAAGTCACTGACAAGTGGACTGAGTCATGTTGGTAGATGTAGACTACTTGGTTTGGGTCCGCGAGACGATAGTCACCGATGATTAGAGACCTTGAATGACATGGCTCAGGTGCATCCACTGTTTGCGTTCTATGAAATTCTAAGCTTCTGCATCCCTCGTAATCTCTACCTTTCTCCTTCTAAATTTATCTTACTGAATTATACTTCTCGAATCATATCTTCGCACCCTAATCTTCTCCATTACTGCTAATACTTCTATTATTACTATCACTCTTGGATTTGAACTGACAGTTGCGTCTCTGTGCTGATTGGGCATGGCAACCTGAACTGATGTACTTACGTACGAAGTTCTACGTTGCATCTGTCCGTATCTGTCTCTGGCGAGATTTAAGCATGTTGGGATTAACTCGCAGACCAACAATAATGTTTTAATTATCACTGAAACCATGAATCAATCATTCTTAGACTATCATAAGAAACCTGGAAGTACTAAAGGACACCCGTTCCGTCCTAGTATAGGACTCCTTAGCAGTGTGTATCCATTACCCCCCGTTCTCGGAAGTCGAACCCAGGACCTTCGGATTAGAATTTGCGTGGAAGCCTATTAGCACACAAAATCATTTGCATTTTAGTTTAAGATATGATTAAAATGTACATACATTATATTTTCCAATAATTATTCACTATCAGATAAAATTATTCGGACTACATTTTATATGGTGAAAAAACCAGAGTGAGAACTGCTGACTACTAGATAAAGATGTAAGTCCTCTGGTAAATTAAAATGGATAAAACATGTTTTAAGCATGTTCAACTATGTGTAATGTTGGCTAGGATAGGAGTAGGTTGCAAACAAAACTATACAACTAATGAATTAGTACGTGACAATCAGTTTATGAAGAATTGTGTCGGATTAATAAGAATTAGAATTCCTGTCCATTATAAGCAGTCATCTATTGTGTTACTACTGATTGAAGTGAAGGTTAATAGATCAGATCAGTATAAGAGAACTTTATAATCTCGTGACACAAATAAATAAGTCTATAAAAGATTGTAGATCATCATAACATAGTGATCTTTACATGAGTTATTTTATTTGTCAAGATTTAGTGATTAGCTTAAATATTTCAGCGATATGAGTATGGATCCATTTACAGTCTTTATGAAGTTGAGAAAGCAATAAGAAATCTGAAGCGAGGGACAGTAGCGGGTCCTAATAGATTGGCCCCTGGGTATTTTAAGGATGGTGGTCCAGTTTTAGCAGCTAGATTGACTAAAAATCTTAAGTAGAATCTGGGAACTGGACACAATCCCATCTGACTGGTCTCAATCCCTGATTGTCCCAATTTATAAGAAAGGACAAAAGTCTTCTTGTGACAATCACAGGTGAATAAGTCTAACTAATATAGTATCTAAATTGTTAGCCTCGATTATCCTTAGATGCCTAACTAGAGCTCGTGAAGAGCCGACTCGAGAAAACCAAGCCGGTTGCAGACATGAACGTGGATGTATAGACCACATCTTCATACTCAGACAGGTCCGGGAACACAGGCATACATTTAGGCGTCCTACAATAGTTGTTTTCCTGGACCTTAAGGCGGCATTTGATTCAGTGGATCATGAGGTTCTGTGGCAGTGTCTGTCATAAAAAGGTGTACAAGTGGATAGTTCACACATTATCGTATTCATACAACGTTGTTTTACTCACTGATAACAAAAAAAGATACTTTTATTATTAGTTCAAAGAATATTGAGTACTTTTCCACAACAATATTCTTCTTAAAGTTTGATAGCAACATTACGTTGAACCTCTCAAGTCCTTGGCCCGAAAGTAGTTTTTTCTCTTCAATACAATGTAACCTGACTAACAGAATAAGAAGTGCTCAAGTTGAAATCAGGTAGAAGAATAAAGCAACTAATGTGTAGTTTAAAACTAAAAAACTTACATTTTTTCTTTCGATAATTTAGAAGTAAATTCAACATCAGTAGATATTTGACTAGATAATTGTAAATTTTCAACAGATTCCTCCTGTACAGTGGTATTGTTTCGCTTTAAAGTGAGCATTGTGGTAGTTGATGAGTTGGTGATATGAGTTAATGTATTTGATGACTGAATTCAATGAAATGAGTAAAGAAAGAAATAAAAAAAGAACAATATTTAGAAATGATGTTAAATTGTATAATTGAACTCATTTATCAAGTGTACAAATTTGTTTACTTGGCATCACAAATCATACTTTAAGTGTCAGAGCTAAGGATACTACTCAGTTGCCCGAATCGAAATAGGTGGGAAAGTGTTAGGATATTCATCCAATATCCCAAGAGAATAATTGGTCAAATCCTGTAGGTCGATTTCTAATGGTCAAAATTATGGTTGTTTTAACTGTCAAAGTCAAATACTTCAATGTTGTCTCTTATTGGTTATCCGGACTGTCAATGTCATTTGAAACGTTACTTTCTGTTGGTTGTGTTAACTGTCAATGTCACAGAATTCGATGCTGTTTCCTATTCGACCAAAATGTATAAATACGCATTATCTGTAACATTTTATGACCACGACCAGGACCAGGGCTCGGTCCCGGATCCCTAGTCCGGGATCCTGATTCTCTTCTGGATTCGGACCTCGTACTTTCTGGATGCTTGTAGAATACAGGTTCTACTTCACATTCAAGTCTTCTTATTTTTACTAAATATGGAGGTTGGGATAATCGGATTTGAGTAGTATGTCGTGTCACCGGATCCTCGATCCTCGCTCTCGTTTTCCGACTAGGTAAACTCGTAATAGTTCAAGTATATCAAGTTGACGTGTTTACTTGCGGGCGTAACAGGAAGGGATTTGAACATGAAACTTGTCTATTAAAAAAAGGTAACAGATAAATTGACCTCAACATATTTATCTGAAGTTAATCAGTTATTGAATTAGAAAATTAAAGAATATAGTGAGAGTGTTCATCCGTAATCAACATGAGTTCAGGCATAATATTGGAAATTTTGGCTAAAGTTGCTGTAGTTACATTAGCATAACGAAAGATGAATGTCAAAAGAGTTGTCAGTCAGTCAATCATACATAATGTAAAACCTGAGATATATGTGCATCAATTCAGTTCGTCACCTCATATTAACACAACGAGATTGAATTACCAAGATTGATACTACAGTGGTAGAAGCAGTAACAGTAACAAAGTCAGCAAAAATAATTAGGCATAGACAATGTAATTCGGCAAAGAACGACTACCAAGAGTAAAGTATAAGATAAATTTAAAAGCCAACAACCTTTCAGAAGACAATTGTACCATTGTGAACTATAATACTTAAAGTCTTTAACCAATGCAGAGACGACTTAATCCGAAAGATAATGACGTAATGGACAGATTACACGTTTCAGTCTGACCAACACTGTATCAGATAACGCAGCCTGTTGAGGTATATAGTGATTGCGCATACGAAGCATACGTCCCAACCACTTCAGTCTATTTGCATCTTAAACTTTAAACGCAAGAAATGCTTCATAGACATGTATGACCAAATACTAGTAACAGACAGATATCCTCTCTTTCAAATTGCAAGATATCATCAACCTGATGCTCTGTATCCAAGAGATGTTTAATGATTGCACCGTTTAAAGTCTATCTTACTTTTGTTCAAAGGCATTTAGAAAAGTGTAAAAAAAATCTAAAGTATGCTCTTCTTTCTTTTCACCCAATGTAACTAATTTGACAGGTGCATAAATTTATAGATACAGTTGGCGTTAGTCAGTCAGTTACAACTTAGAACTTCGTACGTAGGTACATAAGTTCAGGTTGTCATACGGCATTAGCACAGAGACACAAATGTCAGTTCAAATCTCATAGTGGTAGAGATAGTGTAAGTATTAGTGGTAATTCTGTGAAATAAATTTAGAAAGAGAAAGATAGAAGTGATGAGGAATTCAGAAGATCAGCTGGAGTTAACATAAGGGGATTGCTTGTCAACCTTTGATTGAGCTATGGCACATGTTATTTTATACAGTGTTAACAGTTTTTTCTGCCAGGTAAGTCCTAACTAATGCAGTGTTAAACCTTCAGTTGATTATGCTTACAACATCATCGCCTTTGGAGTAGAAATTTAAAAATTATGATTATTTTGTTGAGTTTTGCCATACCCGACTTGCCTTTTCTAATGACAAAATTAACAAATCTGCAAAAAACAAGTTGAGTATGACAACAGTCGATAAAATATTAATATATGTAAATCTCAACATCGAAGGTGATGATGTTGCAATCACAATCAACAGAAACCCTAACATTTGCATTTGCCAGGACTTAAAGTATGATGATGTCTAACACTCATACATTGCAGACTAAGTAATATAAGAATCGGCGGCTCTACTTAAGAGCTACTGATTAATCTGATATCAATATCCACCAATGTAACTTCAGACAGAAGTTTGTATTGATGATGCCTGTTCAGAAGAACAATGAAAGCTACACAACCAAAACATCTAGCTCAGTGAACGAAACACCACCACAATCATCCACCTGAGCTACAAATTTTCCTCACCATCCGAGAACTTTCTGTTGAGGCTAGTGAGCACATTGTATGATATTCATTATACAGTTATCCAGATTGTTGTTGATCAATGAAATAGGTTACTAAATGTTACACTCGTCTCTAGGTATGCTAAAAACTATTACGGGTTCACCTTAGTCGAATAATAAGAACAAAACAATGAACCAGAGTCCTGGATCCCTAGGCCCAAATGTACTAGCAAGAAGTCTTGATATAGCGTAAGAAGTGTATTCTGCAACACCCAGCCAGAACACAAATCATGTTTATTTATACACCATAGAGATGTCCTTGAGAGAATCACAAAATAACACACTAAAAGAACACAGTAACCAATCACAGCCAAGGATTCTCCTGGTGGGAAATGTGATCTCAAGGTCAGTTGGTCAGCCCATGAAATAAATCCAAAATAAAGACATTTATCAAGCGAATTCTGGGGATCTAACATCCCCAACACTAAATAACTACAAGTATTATAATTTATTATATAATCAGTTGATAACTATGCCTCCTTTCTTATATCATAGTTTTCTTTATGCACAAAGTTTACATGGATGACTTTTCGCTAAATCTAATAAAAAAAATATGACAAATCTTATTTTGTAAAAGTAAGCGCGATAATACAATGGGGAATGTTACGCATGAACAGAGATGAATGTGATCAAGACATGTAACAAGTTGGAAAAACAGAAAGAAAGAAATATGGCTAAACAAAGGTAAGACAAAATAAAACAACCAATGAAATTTTAGATAAGAGGAAGATATAGGGGCAGATTAAAAAAACCCAGTACACTTATGAAAAATACCAATGTAACAAGAGAATAAAGGGATTGTGAGGAAATACGCATACACACACACACACACTATAAGCATACAATGACGGAACGGAAGGAAACTAGAATGGTGCGGAGTTGTTTTAACTGCTATCAATATGATTGATTGAAAGACGGACAGTGCGAATTTCTTTATTATCCAATAATAACAGTGAGAATCTAGTGAAGAAGATATAACTAAAACAATCCTTGTTAAGAAATTGGCTGTAGTAGAAAATTCGGTAAAATAAGATGATTTTTGTAGGCTTTTCTGTTGATGATATTCATTAAAAATGGTAGAATAATAAATCAGTTTCTACGCATTGAAATCATCAATCAATCATTGTTAGTGTTGGGGATGTTAGATCCCCAGATCTCGCTTGATAAATGCCTTATTTTGGATTTCACATTTGCAAGCATGGGCTGATCAGTTGACCTGGAGATTTCATTTCCCTCCAGAAAAATCCTTAGCTGTGACTGGCTGCTGTGTATTTTAGTGTGCTATTTTCATAACTGTTCACATGGACGTTTCTATGATGTATAAATAAACGAGAGTTGTGTGCTTGATTGTATTGTGATTGCTGGGTGTTTGTAAAATTTACTTTCTACGCTTACCAAGACTTCTGTTTTACAGTTTGGGATTCAAGGTAGCCTACCTGGACACTGGTGCATTGTCTCGTTCGCGTTAATCGACTACGGATGAACTCGTAATAGCTTCAAGCGTACCTAGTGACGAACATAACAGTTAGACCATCATTAGGGACCTGGAAGCACTGAAAGATAGCTGTTTTGTCCTAGTATGGGACTCATCAGCAGTGTGCATCAACGACCGAGGGTCCTGCGAGTAGCAGGAGTCTAACAATGATTGATTGATGATTTCAATGTGTAAAAACACTGATCTCCATTGTGAATAGCTGCTAGCTATCTAGATTTACTAACATTGATGAAATGAGGACCAATAGCATATAGACATAAGCAGAATTGATGTATCGAAAAAAAATTGTTTGTCAGATATGATTATCACACATTTTTGAAACCATGAATCACTCATTGTTAGACCACCATTAGAAACCTGGAAGCACTGAAAGACGGCCATTTCGTCCTGGTATGGGACTGCTGATCGGCAGCGCACATCCACGACTCCTGCACCCCGTGGGATTCGAACCCAGGACCTTCGGTATTATGCGCGAACGCCCTTACTGTTAGACCACTGAGCCGGTACCCAATGGTGTTAATGTCTAACTTGATCAAATTCACGGAGTTGCGCAACCTCATACACAGTCTTCGGTAGTTACTGTCTACACCCGAACAGGTTGAACTTCACTGTGCTCACTAGTGACTAGCTTCGTGAGGAATCTTCTCCGAGTTCTAGTGGGAAGACGTGACCAGTGAAGTTCAACCTGTTCGGGTGTAGGCAGTGTCTACCGAAGACTGTGTATGAGGTTGCGCAACTCAATGAATTGATCAAGTTAGACATTAACACCGTTAGATACAGGCTCAGTGGTCCGATGGTTAGGCGTTCGCGCACAATACCGAAGGTCCTGGGTTCGAATCCTGCGGGGTGCAGGAGTCGTGGATGCGCACTGCTGAGGAGTCCTATACCAGGACGAAACGGCCGTCCAGTGCTTTCAGGTTTCTAATGGTGGTCTAACATTGATCGATTCATGGTTTCAAAAATGTGTAACTTAACAATCTTCACAACCCCTTAATGCAGATAAGATTGTATTATCATATACAGTGTCCGAGATCTGAATGTGATATACGCCAACTCCATCGAAGTGGCTAATTGAGTGAGAAAGCAAGAGTAGAAGAGAAAATTCGTTTGGCTATACCGAATATTTCACACCCTTAGAAAATGAGTTCATTTCTTGACCAATAAAATTCATTCATCGTTTAGAACATTTCTGATAGTCAATTAGTTATCAATTAGTCTTCTCAATGAGCCACTTCTGTCGATAATCACTTGATATGATATAAGTGTTTAACAATGAAACAGTTAAAAGTGTTTGCGAATATTCTGTTAGTGACTATAGTCAACAATAATGCATCGATGATAGATGAGATCAATTTACAAACTTAATTCTAATGATTGAAATAATTTTGATAAAGAAACAAAAACGAAGTAGTAAGTAGCAAGACAAGATGGTTATTAGAAATAATTAATGATTGTTTCTTGAGGGACCTGAAAAGGAAGATAGATTAGTGTTGGTCTTGGAGACCTGGGAGCGTGACCGCAGAGCCCAAGGGACAACTGCTTGAGGCCGGTCACACACGGCCTTTTTATGAGACGTTTTTTGAGTGTTAGCTCCGCTCTTTTTAAAAGCCCTTAGTGGGCACCCTTACCCAAGGAGACGGAAATCCGTGAGGTAGGGTGAGGTGTGACATTTTTAGGGTCGGCCTTTTCTAACCCTTCCTTCCTTGTGAGAAGGCAGCATCGCTGCAGATGCTGGTTGTCCGAGGGAAACACCTTACTGCTGTCACACCTCTCTACAGTCAGCAGTACGACTTCGCCCTCAGACCTTGAGTAACTGCTTTTAGTCTCATCGTTCTCCGATCGACCTGTCTGGCATGGTAGAACCTTGAGGAACATATGTTTCAGCCAGTATAGCTCGTATGGGTCATCACGGTAGTCAAGCCCGGCCACCACGTCAAGGTAGCAGCTTCGGTTGGGTTAACAAGAGATAAAAACAAACCATTAGATTTAATAAGATCTTAAACAGAATATTCAAGTCAGTAGTATATACATACATATATTTGTATGTTTTCTTCACTAAGTTCTACCAAAAAAAGACACAAAAGCTAAAAGAGATAACTGCCATGGGTAAAAAAAGAGTTAAGTTAGACTGGTCGGTCGCCAAAATAGTGGTAGTAGTAGTAGTTAAATTTCACCGTCACCCTCTTCTTTTTTTACTCTTTCAGCGATGATATAATTCTACCAATCAAGTTGTATTGTGTGGAACTGCTTAGAATCAGGCACAATAGCGCCAATGACTTTAATCTAGATCATAAGTCATCTATCTTGTAAGTTTCTACATTAAGAATTTTCCTCTAAAAATTATCAGTAATACAGTGATCACTTCAAAAAAACTTTACTATTTGTTTTAATATTTTCCATTTGCTGCGACAACTTCGATTACTGGACACATGTCAAGGTCAACTTTGCTTATGACTGACTGACCGAGTGAATTGGTAGTTGTTAAAAGAGCGAACTGTTGATAGAGCGTTTCAATGTTTTCTGGATTTCCAATAAAACTTACTGACGAATTCCCACTACCACAAAACGTGATTAGGTTTTAGGAATCCTTGTAAAGTGTTAGTTCTAACCAATTAATATCTAAAAGATTTTATCGACCAAACCAAAACATGGGACAAATCCATGAAGTCATTGAGAAATGCATTGAGCCATGTTGGTAAGTGCAGGCTACCTGGTTGCGGCCCGCGAGATGGTTAGAGACCCTGAATGACATGGGCTCAAAACCGTTTGCAATGGAGCAGGTGCTCCTACTTCTCGAATAATATCGTCGGACCCTAATCTTCTCTATTACCGCTAATACTTTAACTACATCTACCACTATGGGATTTGAATTTGACAATTGCGTCTCTATGCTAATGTGGTATGGTGATCTGAACTTATGTACGTACCTACAAAGTTTTACGTTGTTACTGAATGACTGACTTAAAGCTTTGATGATACATGCTAGTATTCATGCGACAAGTAAAAATTTAGGATTACTAAACATTTAACAAGTGATTATACTAGAATTTCTCAACGATTCAAAATCATAACCAATGCGCTTACCTGTATATCGTCTGATTGTTTTAATTCATTGTCATATGCTGTCAGAGAATTACTAATACTATTATTCATAGTATCGTCCATATCATTATCAATACTGTTATTGTTATTATTATTATTATTAGTGATCGGAGTAACCTTTACACTAAGTTGTGAATCAGACGCCGTTGCCGACGCCGCCGCGGTCGAATTAGTTGTCTCATCACCATCATCATCATCACCACCACCAGTGGAATTCATTACAGTTGAATTGTTACTCTCATCATTCAGCGAATTCGTATGATTTAGAAAAGGACTTTGTATAACATTTGTAATTGGTCTGATACCGTTCTGGGCAAATAATCGACGTCGACGACGTATAGCTGGTAGAACAATTGTTGAAGAATTAGACAGCATGATATTATTTTTATTCTGATTATAATTATGAATATTGTTGTTGTTATTGTTAGTTAATGTAGAGGTGATATTCGAAGTAGTAGTAGTAGGAGGAGCAGTAGTAGTATTTATTGAAGAAAAACTAGTGTTAGTTAACGAATTAATTGGTGCCTAGATGAAAAAAAAAATCGAAGAGAAATAAGAAAATATCGATCAGATAAGTGGTAATTTTCTACTAAACATGATGAGAAATTTTATTTTGCAAAAAAAAGAAAAAAAATTGATCTACAAACAAATGATAATCCAGAAAAAGTATTTTTTTAGGTACCAATTCACATACCTGAGATTTTAGCATACTTAATAACTTACGCCTGTTACCCCACCAATGGAGCATAGGCTACCGACCAGTAATCTCCAACCTACTCTCTCCTGGGCTTCCCTTTCCAGTTCCGTCCAATCGCTAATCATTCCTATCATATATTTCTCTAATTCTCAGCGTAATGCATTCTTTGGCCTTCCTCTTTTCTTTTGACTTTGAGGGTTCCATGTGAGGGCTTGTCTTATAACGCAGTTAGGTGTTTTTTCGCAGTGTGTATCCTAACCATTTCCACTGCTTCGTCCTGATTTCCTCCTCCACTGGAATCTGGTTTGTTCTCTCACACAGTAGGTTGCTGCTAGTGGTGTCCGGTCAACGAATGCGAAGTATTTTGTTTAGACAACTGTTGACAAATATTTGTATCTTGTGGATGATGGCTTCCTTGGTTCCCCAAGTTTCCACTTCATACAGTTGAACTCTTTTGACATTTGTATTGAAAATTCTGATTTTGATTTTGGTTGAAAGTTGTTTTGAATTGCAGATGTTGTTCAATCGTTGAAATGCAGCCTTTGCTCTGTCGATCCGCGCTCTCACATCTGCATCGGATCCACCTCGACTGTCGATGATGCTGCCCAGATATTTAAGGCTATGCTCTAAGTCAAGTTGAGAGTTAGAGATATTACTCAGTCACTGAAACTAAATTGAATAGATTGGGGTTCGAATCTGAGACTTAATTATTGAAATTCGGATGATAAAATCATCAAACGGAAATATTCTAAATCAATATTAAGTAAGACAAAGGATAATGGCAAAAATATTTTTCACCTGATTGAATAGGTTTCAGGTTCAAACAAACATTTCTGTAGATTTGATTCAGCATAGAAAGATGAATAATAATTCTAGGTCACATATGAACGATGTAGTCCAAAATCGAGTATATACATCTATGATACTGGTATCATCACACTTAAATATTTAACTGTTTCTTACAGTAAAGTTCTAGAGCAATTATATAATGCTGCGTTTTTGATTTCAAGTTACAATTGCTACGTAGTCAGCTACAATGTAGAAATTCGTATTTATGTACAACAGTTCAAGTTGCCACACCACATTCACTCAGAAACACAACTGTCCATTCAAATCCCATAGCGGTAAAGGTAGTAGAAGTATTAGGGTTCAAAGACACTATTATTCAGGAGGTAGAAGCAAGTGAAACAAACTTAAAAAGAGAAAGGCACAGATTATGAGGAATTTAGAGGATCTGAATTTGAGAGAACACAAAGAATGGATGCAGCTGTGCCAGTGCAGACGGTTAACAGCCATGTCACTCAGTGTCTCTAACCATCAGTTACTATCATCTCACAGACCCCAACCAGGTAGTCAACACTTACCAACATGACTCAATCCAGTTATCAGTGACTTCATGGATTTGTTCGATGTTTTGGTTTGGCCAACTCCTAGCTTTTTTCCAGCCTACTCCTACACCACAAAACCATAGCTCGTTAAAGTAGATCAAGCAGCAATCAATACCATAAATCATCAGTTGAAGGAAAAATTTGAGGAATACAACTATCTGCATCTTTACACAGTTTAACATAATTTAAATAATCCGATTGAAGAGCTCATACCACTATTACCATTATTAACTTCTAACTCTTTGTTGTTATTACAGGTGAAGTAAATTTCCTTGAAATTCGTTTGAGGTAATAATATCTATGATAAGCAATACTAAAAAGGTGTGAGGATCGTATTTGTTGTTTACAGTGATAAACAGACACATACACACACACACAAACACAGCATTATCGCATTACGGTTAAAACAAACAGAAATTGTATACAGTAACATCAATGAATGTAATTTTATAGCATTAACATGAAATTCTTTCATGCTGAATTAATTGAAAGCCTATCACACTATCCATCACAATAGATGTTCCTCCCCCCTACGCCAGAGTTAGGAAACTCAACGTAGCAAAGAAGAGAATGAATATACAACTTCTCAGTTATATTATTTATCGGTAACTCATTCTACCAAGTACACATACTAATTAATGTATTTGACTTTGAATCACAATCTAAGTGTGAGGAGCAACTGATATTAACCAGTTGCTTACAACAAAGCAAATAGAAAAAAAAGTGGTTTGAATCCACAGCGAAAGCCTTAACCAATATTAAGCCATCGCGTAAATTCACCGAATAAAACTATATCATCGGCATATTCTAGGTCAGTAAGCGATTTTCCTAGTAAAAAGTCGGCTCCTGAAAATTCAGACGAGGATAAGATTACATCTAGAGGCATGTCTATGACAAAATTAAACAAGAATGGTGAAAGTGGACATCCCTGACGGATACCACTAGAAGTAAAGAATTCCGATGACAGTTCGGCATAAGCTCTCACTCGACCAGTAGTTTTAGAGTAGAGTGCATGTATAAGGTTAATGTACTTCTTTGGTACACCTTTTGATGACAGACACTGCCACAGAACCTCACGAGCCACAGAGTCCAATGCTGCTTTAAGGTGCAGGAAGACAACTATTATCGGACGCCTTAATGTATGTGTGTCCCAGGACCTGTCGTAATGTGGAAATGTGGTCTATACAGCCACGTCCAGGTTGAAATCCAGTCTGGTTTTCTCTAGTATGTTCTTCACAAGCACTAGTAAGGCGTCTAAGTATAATGGAGGTCACTGTTTTAGATACTATATTAGTTAGACTTATTCCCCTGTGATTGTCACAAGAAGACTTTCGTCGTTTCTTATAAATTGGGACAATCAGTGATTGAGACCAGTAGGATGGGAGTGTGTCCAGTTCCCAAATGGTACCTAAGATTTCAGTCAATCTAGCTGCTAAAACTGGACCACCATCCTTAAATATCTCAGGGGTCAGTCTATCAGGACCTGATGCTTGCCCTAGCTTTAGAATTCCTATAACCTTTTCAACTTCATCACGGTTCGGAGGGCTTACGTCGACTAGCCGTTCCGGATGACTGGAGATTGTCGGTAACCGAAGTGTGGCTGAAGGTCAGTTGAACTGATCCCAGAGGTGTTCTGCTCATCGATCCAACCTGCTGGATTGAGAATAAATAATATTTCTGATTAATAAACATCAACTATATACATTTTACTCATAGATTGTGAAAATAAAGAAGTTAACAGATTAATACAAATTAATTGTGCTTGTAAGAATTACAACGATTGAAGTTAAGTTAAGAAAAAGGATTATCAATCAGTCAGTCAGCTACAGTGTAGAACTTCGTACGTACATACAACAGTTCAAACTGCAATACCAAATTAGCATAGACATATCGAAATGTCAATTCAAATCCCATAGTAATAGGGGTAGTAAAAGTATTAGCGATAATGAAGAAGATTAGGGCTCAAAGATATTATCCAAGAAGTATAATTCAGTGAGATAACTTTAGCAAGAAAAGATAAATGTGATGAGAAATTCAGAAGATTAGAATTTGAGAGAAAACAAAGAATGAATGGACTTACGCCATTGCAAACAATTTTGAGCCATGTCACTCAAGGTCTCTAACCATCGGTTAGTATCATCCCATGTAAAAGGAGAATGTTGTGATTAGTTGTGTATAGAGTTTGATGAATTGAGTTTTGAACATTTAGTTGTATAGTATTCTATTTAGAAAATTGTACTTTTTGAGATTTATTGATTTTGGTTTTATCGATAAAATCTTAACATTGCTCATTACACTTCATGGTGAAAAATTACTTTACATTAGATAAGAAAAATTTCAAATAAGATTATAAGAATAATATTCACTTGATTATCTAATTGGTATTAGCCTATATACACATTGAAGACTATAAACAGAATTATTCTAGAACACATTTTTTTAATGGTTAATACAATACTGATTAGTTTATTTTATTTAATCTAAGAATAATACAAATGCATGGCTGTAGTTAGACATTTTCAAGATTCAATGATGAAACACAATCATAGTCAGAGAAATTCAGATGATATGTTCTATTACGGATTAAACCAGTGAAACATACATGAAAATACTGTCACAGGACTGTAAACTAATAATAATAGAAAGGTGACCAATCGATTAAGCGATTTGACTTTCAGCCGATAAGTCCAAGGTTCGAACGCTGCTCAATCTATTTAATTTCGGGAAACTAAGTAGTATCACTAGACCTAGAGGCCTTGAATGAGCCTGATAACCAAGCACCAGGTAATTATATTCAATTTAAAAAACCATTCTTCGTATTTCGGTTCCGCGGGTAAATAACAATAAGTTGTTCGCAAAGCGTTTTTCCAGTTGAACAAGGTGGATCTGATACAGATGTGAAGGCGTTGGTCGGCAAAGAAAGGGTTGCATTTCTACAATTGAAAAATATCTGGAACAAATATCAACACCGAAATCAGGATTTTCAATACAATTATCAAGACAGATTTACTGTGTGGGGAGGAAACTTGGAGAACTAAGAAATCCATCATCCACAAGATACGAATATTTATTAATAGTTGTCTACACAAAATACTTCCGATCCGTTGGCCAGACACGATCAGCGACAACCTCCCTACTGGTGGGAAGAGAACAAACTCAGCTGCGCGACGTAGGAGAATCACGAAAGGAGTAGGAAATGGTATAGGATACATATTAAGGGAAACCCTACCACAACTGCGGCCGTCAGCAAGACAAAGGCCGGCATCATGTTTATGAACCCTTCAAGGTCAAAGGAGAGGAGGAAGGCCATGGAACACATTACGCCGAGAAATGGAAACGGACATCAGAATGAACAGCAATTGCACGGAACTGGAAAGTGAGGCCTAGGACAGAGTAGGTTGGAGAATACTGGTCGGTGGCTTATGCTCCATTGGGGGGTAACAGGCATGCGTAGGTAAGCACGCAAACTGAAATGAAAAATTACGAATTACAATAATAATAATAACAATAATAATAACCAGTAAAACTACCGAAACATTTAAAATTTCAATTTCATTCAACAAGGTACATACATGAATTAATGGATTTGTAGTAGTCGTAACAGCAGCAGTAGTATTAGTAGTAATGATAGAAGTAGCTGCATTAGTACTAGTAGTAGTAATAGTATTAGTAATAGTACTTTCACCATTAATCGTTTCGTGATGAGTCAAATTATTATTATTATTATTACAATCATCTGTTTTCACATTTCCATCATTTACATTATTATTATTCATATGATTACTATTACTGTTAACAGATTGTAAAAAGTCAGTTTGATGTATAGTAGTTGCATTAGAAGAGACTTGAATAAGAGATGTTGAATGCATTAAATCTTGTGTACTAACAATATATGGCCAATAAGTTGACAGACCATTGCTGGCACCACTAGCACCAGCACCAGTGAATGATGATTTTGTTGTATCACATGTAGAAGAAGATGAAGATGAAGACGTAGAGGAAGCAGCAGCAGCAGCAGCAGAAGAAGAAGGAGTGAAATCTGTCGGTAGACTAGATGACATCATCAATGTACCACCACCAGTAGCAGTTAAACAAGTAGTATCATTGGTTTGAAATAGATTTGGAAATGTTGGAAACTAAGAAAAAATGAAAAGAGAAATGTAATATATATACACATTAAATAGAGAGTAACTAATAAAGAAGTAATATAACTAAATTAATTAGTGGTAAGACGTCTCTATAATTGGAAATATTAATTGATTATAATTAATTGTGTAAATGCAACAACTTGTTATACAGACTTTAAATTGATATGGCTCAGAATTGTTTACAATGGAGCAAGAAGTGTATTCATTCGTTGTCTACTCTCTCTCTCTCTCACTCTACTTTAATCTTCTGAATTCCTCAAGACCTTTGATCTTTCTCTATTTAAAATTATTTCACTAGGATCTATACTTCTCTTTAAACCATAATACTGTTACTGCCTCTACCACTATAGGATTCGATTTCTCTGTGTGCTAATGTGCTATGACAACTTGAACTGATGTACGTATGTACCAAGTTCTACGTTGTTACTGACTGACTGACTTAAATGGTTAGTTATATTCTTCTAGATTTTGAGTTTCAGTATTTTTTCCACACGTATCTTTTCTCATTCAAAATATTTAATCTTTCCCATTAACTCCACTTGACAGTCCCAAGGCCGGACAAAGGAAGAGGGTTGGGCTTGGGGTTGGCGACCCCAAACCGCAAAAAAACTAACTCGCTATAATAACGCTAACAAGAAAAAATAATTCAAATCATTTAAACTCTGCTCAGGGAGTTAGAAAGTCTTCATTTAGAAGAGTTATGACGCCTCATGATGAAAGCCAAGTTCCTTCGGAAGTCACCTTCGTAGTAGGTGTCATTTAGGAATAATGATCAATCAGGCAAGAAATAGTAATTAGATTCAATGATAATTAATTGATACGTCAATGTAATATAAATCAACCTGCTAAAATAATCTCAATGGTCGAATATGTACAGGGTAAAGAGAAAGAAATGATATTTTCTATGATGAGAGAGTCAGTCAGTTGGCTGGACAGGTTAATTGGAGAACTATAAAACTGAGAACGCGATGCTGCCTTCTCATAAGGAAGGAAAGGGTTAGAAAAGGTCGACCCTAAAAATATCACACCTCACCTTAACCTCACAGGTTTCCGTCTCCGGTGGTAAGGCCACTTGAAGAGCGGAGCTAACATTTTAAAAACCTCACGTAAAAAAACCGTGCGTGACCGGCCTCAAGCAGTTGTCCCTTGGACTCTGCGGTCACGTTCCCAGGTCTCTAAGACCAACGCTAATCTACCTTCCTTTTCAGGTTCCTCAAGAAACACCCTTTCACGGTGTGGACAGCCGGAAAGTAACGTCCGCCCTCATACCCGTAACAGCATACGAGACCAAATCGGTCACAATCAAACCCTTTCTCTTTATTCTATGATAATCATAAAGAAATCAGTATGAATTAACTGTCTTTCTAAGGTAACAGTTTATGAATGAAAAACAGCTATTCAATTTCATCAAAATCATGACGCCATTTCTATGAACAATGAAACAACCAATACACAAGAGTGTATGCTTAAAAATATTTTTTTTAAAAAACTCACGAAATTCACGAAATTGATATTCGTCACAAAACAACAACAAATAGACAATTTCACGGAGCATTTTACAATTGTCAAGAGAGACACAGAGAGAGAGCTAACTAGATTTATGTGATAAATTTCATGAACGAACGAAGTTCTCAATTTTTGAAGACAATCAATAAATCAATGTGAAAAGGTAGAATATGTGTGTGCTATTTTATTTTGGTGTTGTTGCTTAACTATAAACACACATGTGAACAATAGGAAAAATATAATAAATTCGATTGACTACATGTAAATTACACATTTTTGAAACCATGAATCGATGATCAATGTTAAACCACCATTAGAAGAAACCTGGAAGCACTGAAAGACGGCCGTTTCGTTCTGGTATGGGACTACTCATCAGCAGTGCGCATCCACGACTCCTGCACCCATGGTTTCAAAAATGTGTAACTCAACGTGCATCACAACCCCGTAATGCAAATTACCTGTGCTCACTAGTGACTAGCTTCGTGAGGAATCGTCTCCGAGTTCTAGTTGGAAAGTCATGACCAGTGAAGTTCAATCTGTTCGGGTGTAGGCAATGTCTACAGAAGACTGTGTATGAGGTTGCGCAACTCCGTGAATTTGATCAAGTTAGACATTAACGCCGTTAGATACCAGCTCAGTGGTCTAACGGTTAGGACGTTCGCGCACAACACCGAAGGTCCTGGGTTTGAATCCTACGGGGTGCAAGAGTCGTGGATGCGCACTGCTGATGAGTAGTCCCATACCAGGACGAAACGGCCATCCAGTGCTTCCAGGTTCCTAATAGCGGTCTAACATTGATCGATTCATGGTTTCAAAAATGTGTAACTTAACACAATCTTCACAACCCCGTAATGTAAATGTAAATTAAATAAAAAATTACACATTGAAAGGAAAGGAGTATTTTATTCTTCAAAGTTTACAGAAACAATTTACTATTGCTTCAGTGGCTAATTAATTTACTAACAATAATGAAGAGGAGAGAACAAGAAACATAAACATCAACAATGTACAACAATGCAGAGTGTCATATACTAACTACTTCTAGGAACGTATAGTTTACATTGATAATATATTATTTAAATGAAATTAACACTAAATTAATTAAAAATTAGTAAACTAATACAACTACTAGTCAGCTGATTATAGTTTCCCAAAGATTTATGGCTGTGATTCATGAGGTTATAATAGGTTGTTGATTGGAACCATGTTGATAAACATACACTACTTGGTTGGGATCAATATAACAAACAAAAGTAATCAATCGTTTTATAGAGTGGGTGTTATAACTCAGAACTAGTTACAATAGTGTTAATGCATTCATTTTTTTTATCTGACTTTAAATCTTGAGTATCAATATTCCTTTCATACACATTTTTACATTAATGGTCAGTCAGTCAGTCAGTTACAATGTAGAAATTCGTACGTACGTACATTAGTTCAAGTTGCCATACCACATTAGCACATAGACGCAAGTATCAATTCGAATCCCATAGTAGGAGAGGTAGTAGAAGTAGGAGATTAATGATCGGATATATCACTCGAGATGTATACCCTAGAAGATTAGGATTTGAGAGAACGCAAAGAATGGATGCACCGGCGCCATTGCAAAACGGTTTTGAGCCATGTAATTCAAGATCTCTAACCATCGAATACTATCATCTCACAGACGCCAACCAACTAGGTGGTCGACACCTACCGACATGCCTCAATCCAGTTATCAGTGAATTCATGGATTTGTATCGTGTTTTCGTTCGGCTGACACTACCTTTCTTCCAACCTACTCTTACACCACAAAACAGCTAGACGAGGCAGTCGGTAGTTGGGCATTCGTAACACATGTCCCAACAACCTCAACTGATGGAGATTCAATACTTTGTCTATTGATCTGCCATCCTTAACTAGAACTCGTTTCCTAACGACAGCATTGCTTACTCGATAATCCCAAGATAAACGAGCAATGCTTCGGCGACACCTGTGGTCGGAAACTAATAACCAAAGATTATCTTTTACTCTTAATGGCCCGTAAACGCACACAAGACCAAATCGGTCAAAATCAAATCCATTATACACTTCTTAATAACTTTCTTATCTCTACGAGCAACCCTTCTTCCATTCCTTTTTCATTATCTTCGCAACGTTAACTTTTGCTCATCATCACTGTTACTATTAAGTTGTTTCAATTGCTTGCTAATTTCATCTTGTTGTGATGATGTGGCATGACAACGTGAACTGAAACAAATATATGTTAAGCTTAACGATGATTGAATAACTGACTGACTGACTGACAAGTTTCGTGAGTTACTACTGCTGAAAACACGGCTTAGTAGATAAACATCATTCGTCTGTTATAACCAAGTGATGTGGTTGCAAGTTGGAGCCTAACTCCTATACCCTATTTTGGTTCACACAACCATTAAATAGGAATACATAAATCTGGACATGGTAAATGAGTTATACTACTTTACTTCTACTACTACTAGTACTACTGTAGTGAACGAGAACACAGGTGGGGCAACCGAATTGTATGTAGCGAAAATTACAGAGTTACTCAGTAAAATAGGAAAACCATATCGTAAATCGTTAATTTGCAAAATATCAGTTCATCATATCGAACTGGACTGTTCCTGTTGCAAAACATCAATCCATTGTCACTATTCATGCGTTTCATACAAATTCCATTGTGTTCTAACTCTTCCTTTCTTGATCTTCCCCCATAATTTGCTGCCGGACATTACGTTGACACTCACGTCATATACTACTTATAAGTAGCTCACACCACACTACTACTAAGAGCAAACGTTTATACACTTTAACTACATCATAAAACACAAAAATCATTTGCATGTGTCAATAAAAGAAAATGAGAAACATTTTTTCTATGATTCTATTAACAATAGCTTTAGTAAAATAGTACTGAATTTATAGATCATTATCATCTTAGTTTAAATTTGATAAAAATTTTTAACTTTACTAAATTTTTTATGATAATATTAAAGTATTCGGAAAAAAAAATATGCAGTGACGTACATTGACAGTTTATGATACACGTGTTTAAGCTTATGAGTTATTATAGCTTCGAAATTAATTAGATATACTCAAAAAGCTTTGATTATTTTATATGAGATTATCAGTTTACGTACATACATACAGATTGATAGTCAGTCAGTCAGTCATCTAAAGGGTAGAACTTCATAAATACGTAAGTACATCAGTTCAAGTCCCCATAGCATTTTAGCACAGATCGAATTGTCAATTCGAATCCCATAGTCAGCTATGCTGTCATTAGGAAACGGGTGCTAGGTAAGAATGGCAGATCAATAGATGAAGTAATGAAACTTCATCAGTTGAGGTGGTTGGGACATGTGTTGCGTATGCCTAACCACCGACTGCCTCGACGAGCTTTGTTTTGTAGTGTAGTAGTAGGTTGGAAGAAAGCTAGGGGCGGCCAAACCAAAACATGGCACAAATCCATGAAGTCATTGATAAGTGAACTGAGTCATGTCGGTAGTTGTTGAATACGTGGTTGGGGTCCTCGAGATGATAATAATCGATGGTTAGGGGCGTTGAATGACATGGCTCAAAACTGTTTACAATGGCGCCGGTGCATTCATTCTTTATGTTCTCTCAAATCCTAATCTTCTGGATTCTTCAACACCTCTAGTTTTGACTTTCTAAACTTTTCTCATTGAATCATACTTCTTGAATAATATCTTCTAATCCTAACCTCTCCGATTACTTCTAATACCTTTACTACCTCTTCTACTATTGGATTTGAATTGACAATTACATCTATGTGTGCCAATGTGGTCTGGCAACATGAACTGATGTACTTACGTACGAAGTTCTACGTTGCATCTGACTGACTGAAAGATAGTAGAAGTATTAGCGGCAATGGAGAAGATTAGGGTTCGAATATATTATTCAAGAAGTTACGGGGTATGGCAACATGAACTAATGTACTTACGTACGAAGTTCTACGTTGCATCTGAGTGAGTGAGTGAAATAGATTTAAAAAGTGAAAATAAAGGTCATGAGGAATTTAGAAGATTAGGATTTGAGAGAAGATAAAGAATGGATGCATCGACGACACTGTAATTGATTTTGAGCCATGTCATTCAGGGTCTCTCACCATTGGTTACTATTGTCTCGCGGATCTCAACCAGGTAGTTTACACCTACCAACATGACTCAATCCAGTTGTCAGTCACTTCGTGGATTTATACCATGTTTTGGTTGGGCCAACTCCTAGCTTTTTTCCAGCCTACTCCTACATTACAGATTGATAACTAATCAGTATTTAAACTGGTCAGTTATAATTTTAACATACAGTCTAGCAGCATAATTGTACATTAACCTAAGTTGTTATATTTTAGATCCGGAAAAACAACTTGAATAACAAAATAATCAAAATTATTATACTAAGAATAATAATAAGAGACAAAACGTTGAGAATATGGTTTGAAAAGACAAGATATCAGGAAAATAAGGAGTAATTGTTTCTGCACTGATTCTGAAGCAAGTCACACAAAGACCCTAACCACTGATCACCATTATCCGGCAATAGATCAGATCAATAGTTAATGATTTTATTGACTAATGCCAGTATTAAGTGGATGCTTTATACTTTATTCATGTTCAATAATTTAGACAAACATGACTTATCTCTTCAATCAGTCAGTCAGTCAGTCAGATGCAACGTAGAACTTCGTACGTATGTACATCAGTTCATGTTGCCAGCACACAGAGATGTAATTGTCAATTCAAATCCAATAGTAGTAGAGGTAGTAAAGGTATTAGAAGTAATCGGAGAGGTTAGGATTAGAAGATATTATTCAAGAAGTATGATTCAATGAGAAAAGTTTAGAAAGTCAAAACTAGAGGTGTTGAAGAATCCAGAAGATTAGGATTTGAGAGAACACAAAGAATGAATGCTTCGGCGCCGTTGCAAACGGATTTGAGCCATGTCATTCAGGGCCCCTAACCATCGATTATTATCATCTCGTGGACGCCAACCAGGTAGTCGACAACTACCAACATGACTCAGTCCACTTGTCAGTGACTTCATGGGTTTGTGTCACGTTTTGGTTTGGCCGACCCTAGCTTTCGCCCAACCTACTCCTACACTATAAAACAAAGCTCGTCGAGGCAGTCAGTGCTTAGGCATACGCAGTACATGTCCCAACCGAATCCGTTTGAAAGACTGATTCAAAATGGATAACATAGTGGTGTTTGTTCCGATACGGAAATCAGTCAACTAACTATTCAATAAACTGATTTTCTTGAAGTTGTTTTTGAAGCAATACTAACCTATGATTAGTATTATCTTTATTCTTTTTTGCCATAATCCAAATTTAATGCTTCAGTTAAGTAAATATTGACAGTGTATGTTAAATCGGGTGGCTAATCTCACACACACATTTAACTTACTTGATATGGAGGGAACAATTGGCCTGGATTCGGAGTGAAATTACTTGAAATGAACGATGTACCATGTGGTGGTGGTCCAGATTGAAACATGAAACTTGTTTCATTTGAATTATGAATATTTGGTAAATTTGTAACTCCAGCTGGAACTAAAGAAGTAGCCATTTGTGGTGCAGTTGCATTCACTAAATTTGTACCAGCTGCTAAAGCAGTTGAATATGGATAAGATACTGGACCAGAGTGTGTAGATGATGTTTGGAAAAAATTTTGATTAGGTGGATGTAAAAGTGTTGGATATATGGATGTGAACGATGATGAACTAGGATTGTTTATAGCACTTATAAGAGTAATTGATGAAGGTGGAGTTAGGATAGAATGTCCTAAACCCATAGGATTTTGTGGATCAATTAATACATCAGACATAGTAGGAGGTTGAGGAAAAATAGTTGACGGGTAATTTTGTGGCTGTAAAAAATTGAATGTTGCCGCACCACCAACTCCAGCACCGCCTGATAAGCCAGGCAGTAAATGTGTTGATCCTTGAGGAAACTGGAAGCTATTTGCACCGGGAACTGGTCCAGTAGGATGTAGCACATAACTAGGGGTACCTAGTAAAACAAAGGGAAATAATTATAGTCAACAAACTGTACGTTAATATTCAATTATAAACTGGTTGCAGTATCTCTTAATTGAGGAGTGTAATTACCAAAAACAACCAAAATCCTTTCTAATTTGTCGTTTGCACCGAAACGTTGCAAACATATGCATTTTCAATGGCCAAAATACTACTTACTTACGCCTGTTACCCCCCCCCCAACGGAGCATAGGCCGCTGACCAGCATTTTCCAACCTACTTTGTTATCGGCCTTCCTTTTTAGTTCTGTCCAATCGCTCTTCATTCTTCTGATGTCTGTCTCCAATACTTGAAGTAATGTGTTCTTTGGTCTCCCTCTTCTCCTTTGGCCTTGAGGACTCAGAGTGAGGACTTGTCTTGTGAAGTAGTTGGGTGCTTTACTCAATGTGTGTCCGATACACTTCCAGCGCTTCTTCCTGATTTCTCCCACAGCTGGAGGAATCTGGTTTGCTCTCTCCAACAGTAGGTTGTTGCTAATGGTGTCTGGCCAACGGATCTTCAGTATCTCACAAACACAACCATTAGTAAATACTTGTATCATGTGGATGATGTCTTTCTTGGTTTTCTAAGTTTCTGACCCATACCGTAGAACTGACTTGACGTTATTAATTAAAATGGTGACTTCAGTGTTGAATTGTAGTTGTTTCGAGTTCCACATGTTCTTCAATTAAAGAGACGCTGCCCTCGCCTGCCAGTCCGTGCCTTCACATCTGCATCAGATCCACTTTGCTAGTCAATGATGTTGCCCAGATACGTAAAGGTTTTTAAATCTTCCAAAGCTTCTGCATCAAGTGTGATTTGGTTAGCGCGTGTTGTATAAGAGGATCTTGCTCTTCACTTTGTGGTTTGCAGCAATCGCTTAGCCTTTAATTTATGTTTCGAGTTTATTAAAAGTAAGTTATTATACTTCCAGAGTAAGAAGCAGTTTCACAGTTACTTGGTAACCCACCGATTACATAGATGGAGTTACTGATTTATAATACAAAGCAGTTTAGTCGTCAGGCAGAATAAAATGGTACTCAGTTTCAAATTACGAAATTTTGAGTTCAACCCAACTTTAGAATTAACGTTAGCTTATGTAGACGCAACACTTGCATTCTTCCTTCAGCCAAAATATGAGATATCTTACAATCAAAAATAAGAAAAGATCTTCTAACCGACGACTGGACGATTGAAAATCCAGTGACCAGACCAAAGAGCAGTGAATTTGTCTGGCCACTGAAATAACCAAGTGAGAACTCACATACTACGATGCTTCCAACTGCACCTATTAATAGGAGGATTAAGATGTCACATGACTGTTCATTATTTTAAAGATGAGTGATAGTCTGAATTCGTAAACTACTTACTGAATGAAACTGGATGTGGATAACAACAACCTCACTTGAAAACGATGTACTTGATTAAGCAGTTAGAATGCAAAGAGTAACATAAAAATATAACCGTAATGATGGATAGAGAGAAACAAGTGAAGTTATGGAAGAAGCTAGGATTGATAACTCGTCAACATGAAGATCACTTCTAATTTAAAAGCAACGTGATGATATATATATATATATATATCATTCGAAAACGCAGGACAATAGTGTGTCGACAGACTTGATGTATATAAATCCACATTTATGCTGAAATAATTAGGATGCATTAACTCTACCATAACTTACCCATAAACTGTGGCATAGGTGTCATGTTGAATATTTGAAGTGGAGCGCATGGTGCAGTTGGCGTACCAGCAATCGGTATAGTTTGGCTATGATTTATAATATTTCTTAAACCAGTAGATGATGCAGAAACTGGCATATTACTAACAAAAGGCATAAAATGTACAGTAGATTGAGATTGTATAGATGGAAGAGAAGTTTGCGAAGTGAGAGATGGAGTTGGTTGGGGACCAACAGATAAAACTGGAAGTACTGACTGAGCGACTGATGGACGTGTTCTCACATTGAATATGTTTGACATACTGTGTGTGGTCATCACAGAAGAACCAGTAGTAGGAATAGTCGAAACCGCCATAGAAGTCGTGCCAACAGAGGTAGATTTGGTGACACTAATTGGAGAAAAGCTAGATCTTTCATTTGTTCTACTGTGATTAGAAGATTTTGAATTATAGGATACAGATGATGTTGTAGAAACCATTTCATGCTTGTTAGGAAATATTGATGTAACAGTCTGTGGGGTGGTGTGATTGCTCATAACTGTACTTAACTGAATATCTTGTGGAGCAGGTTTAACAGGTCTTAAGACTTCATTTCTAAATATTAGAAAAAAATAAACTTTTAACTAAGAATTACTGAACGATAAATACAGATAAACAATTGAATATTGTCTAAGCAAGTTTTGATTTAGACAGACTATGGTACATTACTTTATAAACTACTGGAGTTACAATGGGACTAGACGGTTTACACAGAGTGAGTGAATTTCATACCTATAAACAAAAGGCATCTTATGAATTGCAAATAAACAGACTGGAACTATGACTGCCTTGTGGAAAACCATGTTATTAAATCTAGAATGACTAATTTACCAAGTAGGACCACACTGATGTGAGAGGAAATGATATCAGCCAGTCTCCTGAACCGAGCTGCGAAGGGGGAGTAGTATTTGAATTTGTGACCTACTGGTTAAAATTCAAGTGTTCTAAACACCAAGCCGTTGGAACAGTTTTACAAACTGCATATCTAAGAGATATTTATCCTCAGTTTTTGAATCTAGGTTACTTGATGAGTCGATTAACTACAGATACATATCATTCCCGACCATAGCTGCTACCTTGACGTGGTGGTCGGGCTTGACTATCGTGATGACACAACCGAGCTATATTGGCTGGAACATAAGTTCCTGTAGGTTTTACCATGCCAGGCAAGTCGATTGGAAAACGATAAGACTAAAAGCCGCTACTCAAGGTCTGAGGGCGAAGTCGTACTACTGACTGTAGAGATGTGTGACAGCAGTAAAGTGTTTCCCTCGGACAACCAGCATTTGCAGCGATGCTACTTTCTCACAAGGAAGGAAGGAGTTAGCAAAGGTCGGCCCTAAGGATGTCTCACCTCACACCTAACCTCACAGATTTCCGTCTCCGATGGTAAGGCAATTTAAACAAGAACGGAGCTAACACTTTAAATGCTACCCGTAAAAAGGTTGTGCGTGACGGGTTTCAAGCAGTTGCCACTTGAACTCTGCGGTTACGCTCCCAAGTCTCTAAGACCAACGCTAATCTACCTTCCTTTACAGGTTCTTCAAGAAACACCCTCCTACGGTGTGGGCAGCCGGGGAGTGACAACCGCCCTCATACCCGTAACAGCACGCAAGACCAAATCGGTCACAAACAAATCCTTCCTACACCCCTTAACATCTCTCTTATCCCCACGATTAACTCTTCTCACATTCCTTTATCACTCCGTACCGCTAATGCAAACGAGATACATATCATTCACAAATGTTAGTAGACAAATATACAGATAATGAAGTCGCATCATAAAAAAAACGATGGAGACGACCCTGGATTGTGAACGAAAGTTAAAGAGTCTGCCATTTTATACAGTAAAACAGACTGTAATTTCGTAGAAACGATTCACAAAGAACATATCAAAAATGCTACACCTGAAATCATAATAGCACAGAAAAAGTTAGAACACAACATATGTCTATGATGAAGTTTTCACAGTATGTCCTCTCGATTGATTACGTAGGCACTATATATAGTCAACGGAAATTTGAAGATTCGTGATGAGCACATATCTCTTGTGTACAAATATCCATTTCTAACTTACGTAACCATACCAAGTGAGTATTTAATCATAGATTGTTCGCAGATGACACAAAAACAATTTGTCACGCTTTAGTACAAGCACAATTGTGTTGCTTGATAGTGCTATACAATAGCATTCATTTATGTCAGTAAACTATCGACTAGGTAAGTAAGTATGAATGATCAATGAAATAAACTCAATATTTTCAATTATATTTAATTAGACCAACTAAATATTAAGGACTTACGAAACGCTATAATCAGGTCCCATAGATGACATTCTTATAGGGGCTACAGTTGCTAGAGCAACGGGAGTACTCATTTGATGTCCATCGGAAGAGCAATTTTTGTTAGGAATACTAATAGATTGACTACTTTGAGCGGAAAGTGTAGATTGACATGGTGAAGGTGATGAAGATAAACACACAACACTAGATGGTGTGTTGTGGGTTGCAATAAATGACGTTTTACTTTCAATAGTAGTACTAGTAGTAGGATCTTGTTTATCTTCAGTCATTGAATCTAAAGAGATAAAACAAATATGTTTGGAATTATCTAAGACTAAAAGATTCATTCGAAATAAATTCTACATAGTATTTGACTGGGTGATAAACTTAATACCTTGAACAGAAAGCTAAATAGATAGTATGCAAGTGTCTAAGTTGCTACAGCCATCAAATACAACGCGAAAATAAAACCTTGAAGTTAAAATGCATAATGCACGAGTTTCAAAAATGTAATTCTGCATAAGAATGTCGATTGACTTCAGAATTTTACCGTAACATTCCTGAAAAAAACATCAAACAATAACTTAGATATTATGCATCCTCATTTAGTAGGGGCTTCGAAAACTTTCACTCCCTAGTAAGAGTTGGAAATGAACTATAAAAAGTAATAAAACTATACAACTACTTAATATTTCGTAATGAGAAGTACGGCTTCAACTAATAATTTCTCGTAGCAGCTAGTAGTATAACTGACTAAACATGGCAAATTAAATAGTGAGGTACGGACCAACATTTAGGTACAGAGATCAAGAACCACTAAGCTACTACTCCGGTTAGCAAGATAAGATCTCGTGAAAAGTTTGTTAAAAATCAGGGATTTAATTATGTGATCTATAGTGAAGTATATTTCTTACTGAACATAAACTTTTTATAATGATCCAGAATACTGCAATCTAGGTCAACGTTGTATTTACAATACCTAACAGATTTAATTGAGACTTCAAGATTACGGTTTAACAAAATTAGTGAATTTGTAGAGCAAAACAAAATAGGAAAGTGTGGATGTAGGAAAAATAATATCGTACTAACGCAAAACCGTTTTCCATTAAGGAATATCAAGAAGAAACAACCTTGAATAGTGCGGGTTATCAAGAGGTATCAAACCTTTAAACATCTTCAGTAGCATTACACTCACTCCCTGAGTGGGGTCATATTTTAGTAGTTACGACGCTTGGCTTTGAACAATTAGACAGTAGGTTCAAACTTTTATAGTCGTAGGGACCGGATAGTAACACTCATATTTTCAAAACATCGTTCAAAGCCGACTACATAAAACTGTACTTGGTAAAACGTTCTTACACAGGAATTTATTATCTAGTATGCTAATTAGACAGTCAAACACATTAATCAGATGTGTTTACAAGATTATTCTTTCTTTATAAGTGAAGTTATCAGATTAAAATGACTTTCGAACATTAGGAAATACTTGTATAACTAACTTACTAGGTACAATGTATACAGAGTTGTTCGTAAGAGGAATTATCTTTTTCGGAGGTTCATTAAGTAATATATCATCAGATTCTTGCGTGTCCACTGTTAATGGTCGATCTTCAAAGTCCAAGTCATCTTCATCTTCTGCCTGGC